ATTTGGTTAAATTATACTTGAAAGGATGATTTATTGTGAAAGCTTAATCTCTGAGCCTTCTGTAAGACTCACTTCTAGGAAAAATACTGAATCATTACAAAAAGAACAGTGCACATAAAGATCAATAAAATAGAAACATTTTCGAAAGAAAAAATAAAGAAACACATAAAACATACAAAGTAAAAAAATACTAACCCACCAAACAGAACAAGAGCGGGAGTCTGCCTTCATGTTACTCAATTCACATTACAAAATGGATGCAAATAGCCTATTTGTTTATATGCACATCAACATACTGTATATTTGAATTAGTACAAGCTAAACAATGACATTGCACTGGAAAAGTGAAATGCTCCATTATATTAACAAATAATTGAGCACAGATGTCAACATTGTAATATCATACTGTCGGCTGTATGTGTGTAAAGAATACTGAGTAACAGTGACTCCACTAAATGATGTTGGGTAACTACAGATTGCCATTGGACTATGGACTGTGGGTGGGGTCACATTTCTTCTCTTATGTATTTAATTTATCAGGTGATCTCTGATCATATCTAACCTCCACAGACTAATATACATTGGTCATCTGAGCTCACAGCCGATCCTATTTGGTGTTGTTTCCTCCCTTCCAGAGAAAATGTCCCTGTCCGGCTGGGTGTGTGTGGTAACAGGTGCCTCCAGAGGCATTGGCAGGGGCATAGCCCTCCAGCTGTCGGAGGCAGGAGCCACCATCTACATCACGGGGCGACAGGAGAAGACTCTGAAACAAACCGCTGCGGAGGTGAATGTTCTTGAACTTGAGTTTTCTAGAAGCAACTAAATCAGTCAGATCTGAGGTTGAAAGAAAATCCAATGTCCATTAACTTGTAATGGTTTGACAGTGTTGCCAACAATTTGTAATCCAGAGGGTCAGTTCCTCCTTCCAGTCAGGTGGATGACTTAAAAACCATTGTGCCTAGAATGTGTTTATCTTTGCTGTGGTGTGTAGCAGTAGTAGTACTGTGTTGCTGTCAGAATGACTTGATATTATTTGTAGCTGACGTCTTTGTGCGAAACGCAGGTTAAGGAGAGGGGTGGGAACTGCGTGCCAGTTATCTGTGATTCTACAAAACATGAAGACATTGAGGAACTGTTTGACCGGATCACAAAGGAACAGAATGGCAGGCTGGACATCCTGGTGAACAATGCCTACGCTGGAGTACAGGTAGATATATTGTACCGACATGAAGCAGTACTTGGTGTTTTGTGTACTTTAAATAGTACGGTTACATGTAATATAAAGCTATGTAAATGAAAGGAAACAGTTGGTCTGAGGACCAAGCACAAACTCCCCGCTGTGCGATTCACCTCGACTCTAAACATGATGTGTCATTTCAGGATATTTTTGAAAGTACAGGCAAGAAGTTCTGGGAAACTGACCCGTTGATTTGGGATTCTATCAACAACACAGGCCTCAGGTATGCTCATGTACTTTGTTTTGATCCACAAGTTGACTGTGTCATCGTCAACAAACTGTGAAATCATTTCCTCATCTTGAGTTAATAAGTTTTCCAGACATCAACTGATTCTCAACTTGTTTTTCTCGTTTTTAGTTTTGAGTTTTGAGTTTCAGTGGCAACTCCCTCTGTCTGCGGTAGCTCTGTCAGAATAGATATTAAAACAATTCACTGCAAGAGTGATGTGACAGTTTTACAATGCTAAAGGCTAAATCATTCTTCTATGTTGAATCAACACTGTGACGTGCACCCTCCTAGGAATGTCACCTCAGGTCACCGTGACGGAGCATTATGACGCGCTACACTTGATAGCATGCAGCCTTCATGTCTCCCAGTGGCTGGACAAGCGCAAAAACCTCCCCCTCCTTCTGACTCAAACAGATCAAAGGTCACACACAATTTCCTCAGAGGGCCCTCTCTTGTCCGTGGTGCAGTCATTTCAATAAAATCACTGTTACTATATATTAATTAACTCCAACTCCAATGTGAGCTGGTTTTGATGAGCTTGAAACAAAAATTCAGTGGAAATAGTAAATCATGTCCTTCCTCCCTCATGCTCTACCCAGGTGCAACCTCCTCGCCTGAATGTCCTAGAAATGTTCCTGTTGTTGCGGACATGTCTGACTTGGACAATCTCTTGCCGCGTTCTTCATTTGTGAAAGAAAAACTCTGAAATATGTCTGGATCTATTTTTCCGGACATTTTTCCATGTCTGTAACGAGCTACAGATGTATTGAAGCCCAGCCAGTGTTTTACAGTTGTCATTGCAGAGCGACTAAGACACAACAGCACACAAGAGTAAATGCTCACAAAAGTGTCGGGCACTTGGACAGGCTCAGCACCAATCCTTTGTAGAACCAGGTTTGATAGTACAAAAAAATATATAACTTATTTCCTTTTTCTTTCTCTGACAGGGGGCACTATTTCTTCTCGGTTTATGCATCTCGGTTGATGGTGGCTCAGGGGCGAGGTTTGATCATCACCATTTCATCAATGGGAGGGCTTCGGTATCTCTTCAATGTGCCTTATGGTGTTGGTAAAGCCGCTGTAAGATATCTACTCAAGTCTTAGATTGTTATTATCAAGATCAAAATCTAAATTATATGATATAAGCATATATATATATAAATATATTTTATACAAACGTAGTTTTTATAGAAACAATGTTTTGTGGTTTGTTTCCAGTGTGACAGGCTGGCAGCAGACATGGCTGTTGAGCTGAGGAGTAGGGGGGTGGCCTCTGTCAGCCTGTGGCCGGGGGCAGTACAGACAGAGCTGGTGAATCAGTTGATCCTGGAGAAAGATGCAACACAGACTGTAAACTCTGAGGTAGACTCTTCTATAACAACAAACTCATATTTATGGTTGCTTCCTCTGCTTGAGGTATTTCTTGCTACATATCTGGATTTTCTTTTCCTCAGATGAAAAACGTATTTGCCAATGGAGAAACCACAGAACTGAGTGGGAGGTGTATCGTCAACCTGGCAAAAGGTAGGTTTGTACTGTCGGAGACGGTATTTACTTCACTGTCAGTTTGTAAAATAGAATGAACGTTTGACTCACATGTTTGATCTGCATTGTGATCGGTGTAATATATATTGTCATAAACTGCTTCTATAATGCTGAATAGTGTTTACTGGTTCAGCGGATTATTTTAACTAACTTAACTAAGTCTACTTTGATATGGTTTCTCTCTGTTTGAAAGATAAACATCTGATGTCTCTGACCGGGAAGATTATAATGAATTGTGACCTGGCAAGGCGCTATGGGATAAAAGATATTGATGGTAAATTTTATAGTTGCTTTCTTGATGTTTTAAGATTTGATGATTTATTTTTAATTTTATATTTATATTAAGTTCTGTGTAAGCACTTAACTTTAACATTGCTCATCTTTTTTTTCCAGGTCGGAGTGTAGTTGATTACACTTCCCTTAAATTCCTCCTGGCCCAGGTCCCATATCTCTCCTGGCTCTCAGCTGTTACCCCCTCATTTCTACGCCTGCCACGCTTTGTGCTCACCCTGGCATATAGCCGGTTCTAAACAATTCCTCCACCAGTGAAGTGAAAGTGTAAAGCTGTATACTTTATACACCCATTCCTACTTGATGATTCAATGACTGTGAGTCTATGAAGGAAAGACATGAAGAATTCTCTCGTATATTTTCTGTATTTTAACATCAGCACTAATGTCCGCTGTGGATGAAGCCACACAATGTGAAAATGTGATTTATTCATAATACTGAATGTAAAGTATTTGTAGGCCCTTGGGAAAACATACAACATCTGAAGCTTCACTCTATAGTAAAACCCTTACAGATGGTCCAGAGTGCAGCAGCGCATCTGGTCTTCAATCAGCCTAAAAGGGCACATGTCACTCCACTGTTCATTGACCTCCACTGGCTACCCATGGCCGTCCAAATTAAATTCAGGTCACTATTGCTTGCCAGCAAACCGACTTCTGAATCTGCACCCATCCACTTGAACTCAATAACACGGGCTTATGCTCCTTCTCGGCCACTGCATTCCTCCAAGACATGTCGTCTGGCATCGCCATCCCTGCTCAGAAGACACTCACAAACCAGACTGTTTGGTTCCCTGGTGGCAGAATGAGAATACAATCTGAGCATCTTTAAGAACCTCTTGATGACTCATCTCTTTCAAGAGCACCTCTAACACCTGAACTGGCACGTAAACTGCGCCCTTTTTTAACTGACCTCCTTGCGCTTTGTATTATTGAACAGATTTTACATTTAGTGCTCACTTCAAGGTCTCCCACAGTACAGAAGCTTTAGTGCTTTGCCTCTGATGTAAGTGACTGCTTGCCAATACCAAACATTTAAAAAAACATATAACTGTATTTTTGCACCTATTTTTACATGTACTACTTATATTGCCATATATTGTACATTCAGCACTGCTACAAGTACTATAAGAGACTGACCTTCACATAACAACTTCTTAAGTAAACCAATATGAACTCCAGTTTTCAGTTGTCATTACATGTAAAAATGACCTGTTTCTAAATAAAGACAGTGAAATTCCTTGAAACAAGATAAATATTGACATCCAGCCTATATTATTTGATCATTTACCTTTAACTGTGTGTTATAGATATTACCTCTGACCGAGATACAAATGACTAAAACACATCTGCCTTATTTTCAGTAACAGAACATGTCTGATGCTGATATGAATTCAGCAAGGACACGGACAAGACCACTTGATTGTGTACCTCTGTCTTGTTTACAGTACAAAGAAAAAAGTAGTTCAACTAAACCTCTAATTTTGACGACACTTCGGGGAGTGCTGTAGCCATGGTTTTAGAAATACTGCAGCAGGATGTAAAATGATCTAAATTACAGTATTTGGATTCTTCATATCTAAATGTTTTTGCTAACATGTTCAGTCAAGTGTTTCATTTATGTTAGCGTTATCACCCATCATGACTAAAAGCAGTTTTAATGCCCTCTGCTTTCTGCTATCAATATAATTATGATGTGGAAATAGTCTCATTGTTTTTTCTTAGTAGGCCTTCAAGTAGTAAACCATGTAAAGATACTGGGTTCAGATTGGATGCAGTATTCTTCCCAGTAGCTGTGGCTGTGAAAAGAAGTCTTAAATGTCTGACGCAAGGCTCTCTGAGGGTCTCGAGGAAGTCTGCAGACACGTGAGAAACTCCTGGTGTTCACTGGAGTTGGGCGATTGCATTGTTGTGATAATAACGACACGATGATTGTAGCTGAAGCCCACATCAGACGCTCGTGGCCCTGATCTGAGAGGCGGGGGTCGCTGGTGGGTGGCTGGCGTGAAAATGTTTAGCCCACTTTACGGATTTATTATACAAGCGCCTCCTCCCTCCAATCCACGGTCTGCTCTCCCAGACTGGCACACCCACCACCCCGCCGTCACTGTGGGAGAGTCGCTTGGGCCTTGTGGGCTTCCTGGTCCTCAGCTCCGCCTCGCCTCGATCTGGCCGGACAGGGGAAACACTTCTCAGTTCAAGAACAAAAGCAACAACGGGCAGAGCCGAGTAACGGCGACTCCGAGGATCGGATCTAAACCTCAGCGGATCGAGAAATATTCGGATCCAGCGGCGAGGACCGGCCGACGACCGAACTCACGCGAAAGGCGACAAACTTGGTCGCCTCGCATCTTTCTAACCCGCCCGTAATCCGTCGAGGTGCTTGACAAATAAGACAAGGGTCAAACCGACAGACGGTATTGTTTCCCTGGTCTCCCTCTCTAACTTCGGCCATAAAAAAGCGGAGTGGCCCGAGAGGAAACTCGAGGTTTCCTTTGTTTTCTTCTCGTCTCGACGGACCTCGTGGATAAAGGGTTGTTTTGTCATTTTCGGTAAGTTTATTTTCATGTTCCACTGAAGCGTGTCTGGTGGCGAAGTGCGCCTGTGCAGTGGGGAGCGTTTTAGTTAGTACGCCATAAAGGGGGAGACACTGGACTGTTGTGGCCGCTGGCACAGAGAGCAACTTTTACAGCTCCGGTCACACTCGGATAAACCGTGTGAACCCCCAGCAAACGTAACAAAGTGAAACATGTAGCCGGAGGAGCCACCACATGATCTCACCCCCCTGGTTTTAGTGAGTCACGACTGACTAACAGTGATCTCAGAATTGTTAGCTCTGTGTTTGATGCACTTGAACACTTCTTGCGTGGCTCATGCGACCTTAATCGTCGGCCATGGCACAGCCTCCTGACTCAATACGCAATATTTCCTCTGCTACCACAAATTGAGACAAACAACTCAACTATGCAGCAGCTGGTTGTTTGTAAAACTAAGTCCTGTCAGTGTTTACAATCAACTGAATCATAGATTACCTAAGGATTGTAATTGGACAAACACGTCAACAAATATTGGTCAACAAGTTAGTCTGAATCATAATTCCTTGTGTTTGGCCTTCTAACTGCCAAACTTCTGTTGTGATATGATGAAGAGTTGGATAAACACCTGTTGCCTGAGAAAAAAACGTTTTCATTTAGCTTTTCAAACCAGGTTTCTTAAGAAATATCTAATGCTCAATACTGACTTAAGTGTGTAATGTGTCTCGACCTAGATTTGAGTATGACTGATGCAAATCATTTCCCCCTTCCACAGGTTTTTGTTGCCGTGTCTGCCTTTGTGAAGAGGCTACACTTATCTTTTGGGGCCGGGTACTTGGAAGTGGAACAAAGCCCAACTGGGAAAGGGTGAGAAAGTAGACTGTGATGGATTTCTCGTAGATACCCATTCCACACGCTCCCACCCTTTGTGACCGATTCCCCACTCCCACAAAACAAAAGTCAGTCACCACACTTTGGGGGAGGGGAACCCAGTCTGGACAGGGTATACGACTAGTTTCATTGGGAGTTCAGAATAGGAGTGCAAAGTAGGATGGGGGAGGGGAAACAGCTGTCAGATAATTGACTTTGAGAATGAATTAGAACAGAAAGTTCTAAAAACATCATAGTCCGTACTCCTGGCTATAGACTTTTCTTCTCCCTTCAGTTATCTGTGAGGTTAATACAGTTCAGATAAGCAAGAAAACCGCAACAGCTAAATCAGTGTGTTTTTGTGTGTTGTTTTCGTAGGTGAGAGCCTGTTTTGATATCCCAGATGGCAACCTACAGCGAACATAATGGCAGAAATGGACTAATTGTGAGCATGAAGGAGTCTTTTGAAGGAAAAGTAACAAAGAAAGAATGTGAAGGAAAGTTTGAAGCTAAACGGCCTTCCAAGGATTTGTGCCACTCTGCCAGCTCAGCGGAAAGCAACACAAGTGGTGTGGCAAGTTTCACCACTAACCACAACTCTGTTGTGTGCCTGCCTCTGGTGTCAGAGGGACTGAAATTGGTATGGACACAGTCTGATCAGACCCGTGAACTTGACACAATCCCAGAGTTGGTCCAAGCCTTTAACTTATTTCCATATCCATCCTCCCATGAGGTTAACACACTGGCCCGAGTATGTGCCTTGCCACTGGACAAAGTCAAGGTGTGGTTTATGGTGCAGAGAATTAAATATGGTATCAGCTGGTCGTCAGAGGAGATAGAGGAGACGCGGCGGAAGCTAGCAGTGCCAGAGGTTAACGATGATTCTACTGAAACAAACGAGGAAGCCAAAATAAACAGCAAGAGCAAGACTTGTGAGGAATTAGTCATTGAGGATAAGGATAGCAAGGAAGTGGAGGTTGCTCTCTCCAGCTTTACCCCCAAGAAGACAAAACCAAAGTGTGAGTCACCAGATTCTTATAAACCAGCTAAACCCACCACCCCTTGTTTCAGTTCCACCCTTCCCCCTCCTCAGGATTCATACTTCTATCGCTCACCAGCAGACACGCCAGCAAGCACAGTGACTGATGTCTCCCTTGACCTTTCAGAGCCATCATCGAGACAGCACCGTCACGGGCGCTACAAAAAGTCCAAAGCTCAGCTCGCTGCTCTTCGAAAGAGCTTTCTGAGAGAGAATTGGCCTGCAGAGGCAGAGCTAAGACGTTTGCAGGAAGAAACTGGGCTGACCCGCAATGACATTCGTAAATGGTTCAGTGACAGCCGTTATCAGCTTAGAGTTGGCCGAGGAAGCCTGGCAGCAGCCCAGAGCTATTCTCAACACACTGCTGTGGGAGGTAAACATGATCAACAAACTCAACCTCTTCCACTTATTACTCAAAAGCCTAATAGTGTGAAGGGGAACGAGGGACCCCGTAGCAGTGGAGCTAGACATTCACATTTCTTTCAGACCTTTTTGTCAAACAGTCTGGAAGCATTTGGGGAAAGAGTACTTGAGGCAGAAGAGTGTGATGTCATGGAGGAGCTTTCTGGTGATGGGGACAGTGTCAAAGACGAAGGGCAAAGTGAAGAACAGCCCTTACAATTGACCAAGACCTGCAAGATCGAGACAGATGTTCCACAGGAACCATCTGGTATATTAAAATCATCTCCCTACTCTTCCCCAGCTAGCAGCCCACCACCGACTAATAAACAGCTTTCAAACAGTAGCAGCACATCAAAGAAGTCCCACCCAGCCAAAGCCAGTCCCTCACAAACACCCATTCACATCTCAGGGGCGTCTTCAACTACATCTTCGTCTCCTGCTCTCACTCCTGGTGGGCGACCAAGAAAGACCAAGGAGCAATTGGATGTTTTAAAACAGCACTTCTTGCGCTGCCAGTGGCCCAAGAGTGACGATTACACTGAACTTGTTAAGCTTACAGGTTTACCCCGAGCAGATGTAATCCAGTGGTTTGGTGACACACGTTATGCTGTTAAAAATGGCCAGCTGCGCTGGGTAAAGGGGGTCCGTGACCAGTTCTTGGCCGAACTTGCTGTCCAGCAGAGTGGCAGTGGTTTGACTAATGGAAGCAGCTCTGGGACATCTAATCGGGCTGGCGGTAGCCGTAAACGAAAATCTCAGGCAAATGTACCAAGTACAGATTCTCCTGATATCCAGCCATTGCTAACGTATTACCTTTCAACAGGCTCACTACATGAAAAAGACCTTGACTCACTATGCAAGAAATCAAGAATGAGCTACCAGCAAGTGCGAGATTGGTTTGCATCTCAGGATGCGGGGGAGACCGACCAGGAACATAGTATTACTGACTGAACCAGACATAAGAATCGGGCTGTGCGATATGACCACAATCTCATGTCACAATACGCATCATTTCATATTCAGATGATATATCTCAGTAACGTATTTTCTGTAAATTTAATAGATGAATAAATGTAAAATAAATAGATATGGATTTTCTCCTACAAACTTTGTTCCAACACTCGACCTGAATGTTTCAATTTGGCACTGTGTACCTTGGGTCAAGTTTTTACACCAACTCGCAGGCCATAAGTTTCAACAGCAGCCCTAAGCTCCTTCCATCTTTGCGATTCTTTGCCATGTGGTGCGTCATGGGTAAAAGCCTCTTGCAGTGTCTGAGTCCGGGGTTTGTTTTAAGCACCCAACTGTACTTTTCTCGTCTGTAATTTCCTAGTGCTCTTTGACTTGATTCTTGGGCAGGTGGTTATAGAGGTTGTTGTATTTGGAGTCTGTTTGTAAAGTTCTTTTTTCTGGTCTGTGTCAGACTTTTTATACTTATACAACTTTCATGCAACAGAAGTAGCACCTCTCTTATGTATAAGCTCCTGGTTTTGTGGGGTCTTTCTTTTTAGAATTGCCGTATTCTGTGCCACGTTCACGTGTCCTGCCTGCATCCATGCTATGTGGAAAAACACAAAACATCCAAATAACAAAAACACTGCTGTAAAGAGTGATTTACGGCTGAACGAAATAAACAATACTGGATAATGCAAAGAGACTTCTATTGTGACACGATATATATATCATATCACACAGCCCTACTTCAAAACATTTCTAAAAGTAGGTGGAGTGCTCCTCATGTACTTTGCATCAACAAGCATAGTTATTACTTTGGTTTAAATTGCTTTAATTGGGGCAGTTTTGTAACATCCAGTCTTCCCAGTACAAGCCCTTAATAAGGTTTGTGTTTTTTATATATGCTGCATTTCCTGCTTATCCTAATATATTTGGACTGGAATTATAATTGTGCTTCCTGTGTCACTGTAAATAAGACAGTAAATTGTACACTGGTTTGCGATATTTTTTTAGCTTATCTTTTTGTTTAGATCTCACTACTTAAGATTTTTCTTAGTATGATATTGTAGCAGTATAATTTAAACTGGTTGTACTCTCGGTACCTGACTATAGCAGATGAGTAACTGCTCCAGAAAATGTCTGTGTGTGAATTTGTTGACTGATAATTGTGTCATAATTCCTTCACAGCCGATAATTCCTTATCATTGAAAGCACACTGGACATGTACACTTTAAATTGATATCTTGCACTTTGGTTTCAGAGCCTGCTGCCATTATTTCCATTAAATTCAATTCTTTCACAAAAGAATAATTCCTAACTTGACAGTGTCATTTCTGATCCCTAAACAGTGAAAACTCTGATCATGTCTTGAAAATAACATTTAATATAATTCTTCTTACGTCAACAGCATATTTTTGAAACATTCCTGATGCTCTCCTGCTGTAATATTTGATTTATTAGTCAAATACTTTGCTTGTCATTTACATTTAACAGAACTGAGAAACAGGCAATTGCATTAATATCATACAGATATAGTTGCCAACTTAATTATGATGTGCTTTCACTGAGTCAGTCAGTATTTTTATATATCTTGTCTTAATAGGTCTAGGGCATGACTTTTAAAATATAGACAAAGTAGATAACTCATGAGGGTCCACATACTTTGTAAGTAGCAAAAGGCTTTAAATGCATATCTATTTCTGTCAACTCGGGTTATGAATTACAGTACAAGCAAAATAAATTTGGGGTATCAGTTCATGTATTCATTAGTTATTTCATACATTGGTGTGTGTTGCAAGAAGAAAACTCTTGCCACTCTAGAGTACTTCACTCACGAGTACGACTCAGAGTTTAGTTCCATAAAAATGTCTCGACAGAGGTTAGATGACCAGAATGTTGACAAAGCTGTGTGCATCATTGTACAAGTGTTATGTTGTGGGGAAATGTCCATAACACTTAGTGATTTCAATGTATTTTGTACTGTTAAAAAAATCGCATTTGCACAATTGTGTCACTGGAAACCAGTAAAGGATTTGCCTTTATAATCACATGTGTCAGCAATGATTTTGTGTGTGTGTGTGTGTGTGTGTGTGTGTGTGTGTGTGTGTGTTGTAGCGAATCAAATTGATTATGACTATGAACAAACTTTAATGGGTGTATATTATGAGACGTGAGCAAAAAAAAGGCAAGAGGCTGAAATGATCTGCAGAGAAGCCAGTGAGACAAACTGCTGCTAAAATGTACTGACAGAAAAAAAGTCCACTAATCCCCTTTGACAAAACAAACATGGTCATTTAATTCCTCAACAGAAGAGCCAACCACGTAAACATAATTATTAAATACATTCAACAATGTCCAAGACATTTAATCACTTGTGTCGACAAGTTCTGGGCAAACACAAATCTCTGAACAATGAATGAACACAACAGCGAATGACTCCTAAACAGACAAATGTTTGTCACAGTGACGTTTCATTAATGCCTGGGAGACTGTAATGAAAATCCGTTCATAAACTGGAACTGGAAAACAGGAGTCTGATGCAGAGTTCTGAAGAGGACAGAAGCAAACTCATGACTCAGAAAATTCACGAGAAAAGCACAAGTTATTTGGAAAGTATTTCTTACCTTGTAGAAGTGCTGAAGGATGTAGGCGTTCCTATTTAAAATGGATAAAAGGGGGGGAATTAAATTAAGGACAGAATCCGTTTAGTTTCGCATTTGATTAAGCAAAGAGAATTCAATTTAAACACAGCTAAAAACACAGAGTTGAGGGTATGGCCACACTTACTATGTACGTGTTCATGAAGAGAACTATTGCTGGAAATTGAAGTAGCTGATCCGGGAGTCTGACAACAACAGAGGGAACAGTTTTTAACTTGATTTTATATAGCAACAATTTAAACCCAAATAAAGATCTGCTTTAAAATTCTGTATAATAACTTTATAGTATAAAGTGTCTTAAATAAATGCTCACAAGTATCTCATCTTTGAATGTATAATAAGAGAATGATAATTAAGAGTTTATTTCACTGAGGATGGATTTCAACCAGTTTTATTGGTTGTCAGACATCTTCATAACAACCAAGCAAACGTTATCCACTGAGGAAGACAGTGAGATGTAGTTGAAAGCTTTGACAAAGGAGGACCTTGAGTGAAGGTTTTGGGGATTAAACAAAACCCTTTACTAATTTGTTCTGTTTTAAAGCATGACATTTATTTACACCAATAAGAAATCACACAAGAGCCAATGTAAGTGGGAGACTCACAGTGAGAGAGGAGAGACTGGGACCTCTGCCTCTGGTCCACCCCCGAGACTCTGCTGAGCCAAAGTGACTAAGAACCAGAAAACATGTTCGAGTTTGATAAAAGTCTTGTGCAATTCTCCTCTAAAATGCAGATATGTTAAGATGTAGCCAATAAAGAATACAATTCATACCTGTTGGTTCTTGACCGAGGTGTGACTAGTAAAAGAAAATTACATGTGAAATTCACCAGTAGGAAAAACTGTTGAGACAAAATGTTCACATGACCTCTGGGTTTACCTGGGGAGGTGACAGCCACAGGGAGTGTCATCCTTTGAGTGCTGTATAAGAAGAGAGTGAGTGTACTATAATTATAAATACTTCAACACTATGATATGTACTATCAAATATGATTGTGGTATGGTAAATTGGCCTTTACCCATCTGTATGAAACTGTCCTGGAGAAACCTGTGGCAAGCAGAAAGTATACAGCCTTAACAATAAATCTGATCTAAACACCTTATCATTGACATTTTAAAGCTGCTTTCTGACATTCACTGAACTCCAGATAATCTCTGGACATTCTCTGGAGGTATGTTAGATAACAAATGTCGGAGTTCCTCTGACCAGCCCTCAAGTAAAAAACTCACAGCAGAATCTCTTCCGTAGGATTCACAGTGAGCGAGTGGGCGTGTTGATAATGTTTCTAACATGGGACAGATGCAAACCAAAAAAAACTACAAAACAACACAAATATATCAGGATGAAAAAAGGAGCCATAAACTTAGAAGATGCTGACGAAGATATCAAGAGAGCTTTTGGTGATATGGGCCGACGCTGGTGTTTATATGCTGTAACAAAAACATGTGATCTCCACAGAGGCATTTATACGTTATATTTCTGCGCCCTGAAAGCTCCGGAGACTTCTGTGTTATTGTAAACACGTCTGAGTTTGAAAGAATCCCCCACAGTGTTGTTCATGTGTCAAAGGCAAACCCCAGAGAACGTCCAGACCCAATCGTGCAGAGATTGTGTGGAGTTCATTTCTCAAAATTGCTTAATAAACACAAACTTTAATAAAGGAGATTGTGGAACACTTACCCTCCTCTGAGAAAGTGGCTTTTTTAATTCGGCAGTCTCTCTTTTCAGCTCAGAAAGTTGCTGTTTCAAGGCAGCGTTCTCTCTTTTCAGCTCAGTCAGTTGCCTTGAGATAAGGGACGAGAGTTGGAAAGTGTTGTAATCTGAGTTTTATTTATATAGAGGAACAGAGATTTTGAAATCACCTGTAGCCCTGCTCAGTGACCTCCTTCAGACGCCTCTCCAATTCAACAGACTTGTGCTTGAAGTGTGTCGTGACTCTTTCCATCTGTGTCCACTGGAAATTAACAATCTGAGGAAGAAGTAGTCAGTATCAACTATTCTTTCATCTAAAAGGAATTACTGTAAATTAAATATGGCTAGTGGGTAATACTGTAAGTCAGAGATTCCAAGATTCTTCAACATGGTGATGCTATAATGACATTTAAAGTGTAGCAATTTAAAAGTGGCACAGAGGAGTCAGACCTGTGATATGTGCTGCAGTCGTGACTCGATCAGCTTCGTTGGGTCCTTGAAAAACACTTTTTCCTGTGGCTTCATCTAGAATAGAAAGGTGTGCAGATCTTCATTAATGTGTGGGCTGTGTGGAATAAGGTAATCCTCTGCTGGCAGCATTAGACAGTGACCTGCAGTGTCAATCTCACCAACCTCATCAGTGATGGGCAGATAACTGCAGCCGGCCCCACACACACTGCACTGCTCTGAGGGGAAAAAGAGGATGTTAGATAATTATATATCCTAACCTGTGGAAGAGCAGATGGAATTTAATTGTCTTACTAGATTTGATGCATGCCTCACAAGAGATGTGGCCACAGCTGGACACAGCAAACGACGACCCTCTCCTTGTGAAGCACTGGTTACAGTGGAACCAGTCCATTTTAGGCCCTGTGTGTTCAAAGGTCACAACACGCAAATGTACTTTTATTATATTAAACAATTTATTATATGACGATACTCTCTAACATTTAAGATAATGGTCTGCTTCCTATTCCATGGGAACAATTTCAGATAAGATAAGCCTACATTAGCCCCACAATAGTGTAATTTTCCATATTTCATGCTGTTAAAGTATTAGAACATATAAAACAGAGAGAATATATACAATGTAAACAGGATTGCACATAGAAGATATTAATATTACACTAATTGACTTATTGAAATCAAACAAATGTTTTGCTCGTTTAAAATGAAATTGAACCTGAGTGAGTTTGTGCGGAAGACCACTTCATACTTCAACAAATTTATTCTCAACTGCAAAATGTTTATTCCCAGTTTGGTGTAGAGCTTGGCTGGTCTGCACAGAGCACTGACCCTGTACAACACGTTTTAGATTAACTAGAGCCCAGACTACGGCCTTGATCCAGCCTCCTCAGCCGGGATCCTGACGACTGATGAGTAAGAAATCTCCTGCCAGGTTGTAAAATCTTGTGCAAACCTTGAAGCTGTTGTATCAGTATATAACTCGTCTTCCATCATGAGACGTTCACTTGTCGTTGAAGGACCAACTCAGATTCAAACCTCAACACCGTGTCAGTTCCTTGAAAGCTCAGATCAAGCTCTAACAGTGTGCACATCTCCACGGACCCTGGAAGCAGCTCAGCTCCATGTAATGCTGTTGTATATGTCACCAGTGTGATTCCTGCTATAACCACTGAAAGACACATTCATCATATATAAACATAATGGTACAGTGTGTGTGGAGTCTGGTTTAGTTATACTATGGATTTATAAATGGAGAACCCCCCCCCAGCAGCGAGACGTGATGACGTAGTCCGTTACGCTACAGAAACGATTAGCCGCTAAGTGTTAGCTAGCTAAAACTTCCTCAAAGTGCGGTCTGTGGCTTGATACTGACAAACTGAAGGGACGAGACACACGCTACACTTCAACATGGCTGCTGAGTGTCTGTTTCTCTCTGTTACTTTACCTGCGAACAAATATATTCAGCTGGTTCAGCTCTGCTGCTGTCTCTGCTCTGCCCCTCTTTATGTACAGACTGACTGACAGTGACGTCAGAGGTGGTTTAACAAGGAAACCACACACATTAAAAACACCTACTATAGGAAAGAGGCGTCCAAAAGTCTATTAAAAGATCCAATAATAGAGACTATTCATAAAACACAGACCGATTTAAAAGCCTACATTTAATATATAAGATCACGAGTAAAAAAATTCTACAAGATGAGCCTATTAAAAATAAAACCCTACTTTTTAAAAAGACGAGCCTACCATTTAAATACATAATGTACAATTAAAGAACTAACTTTGAAACTAAAAGATAACCAGATAAGACATCAAAGTATAAGCCAACTATTAAACGAGTGAGGCTACTTTCAAAAATATGCCTACCATTACAAAAATGTATATTAGCGTTAAAGATCATTAATCCTCACCTCATCCACAATAACATATTCTTGACATTAGTGGATGGATGAATCAAACTGGCAATTGAATGAGCCATTAAGAGCCAGCTGACTTTCAGAGTCCATGTGTAGAACCTAATGAAGGCAGTATACAACCATGCACTAGATTTAATCCAGCCAATTACACCACTACACCCTGTAGTGACAGCTTCAGGTTTACCCAGTAATAAACCTTAGAGAGGAAGACCCTTGTTTGAGTGATAAAATGATTTGAGCTTTGTTCAAGTTGAGCAGTTTGGATACATCTTTAATGGCAACAAATCTGAAATGCAAAGATGCAACCAGGCAAACAATAAAAACTGATTGTAGGAGCCAGTCAAACTGATGGATTCATTTCTGGAGAGGGAAAGAAAGAAAAAGTCTATGAAGGCAGCAGTTGAGCGCAAATACAGAATTTTGAAGTGTAAAAAAAATACAGTCATTTCTCACTCTGATGCTTCAGGAGTTTTCAGTGACTGTGAAAGGCCCGAGGACTGCTTTCTGTTCCACTCCAGGCATCCCTGTAACACAAGCACAGTTAGACCATCATTAGAATGAGACCAGTTTAATCCAAGCACTGCACAGATGGTGTACATACCCGAGGTTGTCCTCCTCATCCTCCTGGACTTACAGGTTGAGTCACAGCAGTCACATAGGTTGCTATATGCAGGGTCATCCAGAAGCTCCCAGCTGAACGGGAAAAGCTTCCAGGATTAGTTACGATTTGACTTAAAGCTTTATGACTAGTTAAATAAGTCAAGTTTTACCCATGATTTCTGATGTAGTTGCAGGCCTTCTTTGTGTTGTCAAGCCCAACAGGATCCCAAGCCACAAGTTGGCAGTGCAGATACACCTGAGTGCAGAGGAGAGCGTCAAGTTTATGTTCCAGTATTTACAGATTAAGTTTGCATGTGAGAGACCATGCACAGATATAGAATTGAAGGTTTACCTCTTTTCCAATAGAAAACCTAAAGGCTTGAAGGGACAGGTGGATCTCAGACGACCTTTGCCTCGGTTCGAATTTTGAACGGGACGTCTTACTGTCCACAAGACATCTGTATAGTTTAAAAAATACAAACACACATTACTTCCAGTGTGTGGACAGAAGAAGTCAGTGGGCCCGTGTTCATATTTAATATAAAAAGTTGTACCCCTTATTTGTGATTATTGGGTATAAATCGCTTTCAGGAGTCAGCTCTGGTGTGGCGGCAGCAACGCATTCATCAACAAGCAGCAGCAAGGGCTGATGGGAGTTCTGCTCCACGCTCGCCATGATGGGGATTAAAGAGCCCAGAGGAAAACTGGTGGATTCAGCAGGGCCTGAGAAATCATCTAAAAGCAACAGGTAGAGGTGAGACATTGACTTAAGATGCTGCAGTTTCAAGTTGGGGTGATGAACTGCTGACACCTACCATTCATGAGTCCAATATGAAACACCAGGGCTCCTTGACCATATGTACCGAACACAGGGTCATAGATGATGGGGTACCAGTCTTTAGGCCTGCGCAAAATACAAATTTAAAAACAGTCAACCTTCAGTAAAAGTGATCAGAGTCTTGAACACCCAGTGTGGAAGATACATGAATACACACCTCTCATATGAACACACAACTGGGTGGGTGAAGGGGAGTATGTGGGAGTCCGAAGAGGAGATGTACATCAGTTCATTGCTGTATATTAGACGATTCCCAGTGACCTATGAGGAGGAAAAATGACTTAAACTGTCAAAAGCATTATTTACTTAAAAAGCCCAGTTTGAAGTTTGCTACCCACCAGTGTCCTGAAGCTACAGTCGTTGAAGCCCACATTAAAAACAACCTGCCTGCCCGAGAAGCTGGTGGGAAAACAGTTACTGAGACGAAAGAGCGAGGGGTCGACCAGGGTTCTGCTCTCTGTCCACACCAGCGTCACAGAGTCAGGCCTGCAGTCCAGTGTCATGTCTGTCAGGGAGACAAGAGAACAAATACAATCAGGTTGGTCCACAAACAGCAAAGAAACCTTCAATTCTTTTTGATGCTACATTACCTGCATTAACTGAAATGGCAGCTACCAGAATGGCAAGCAGCACCCCTTGCCAAAACAAAGCCATCATGACTGAACACACAAGATGAAGACTGTGGAAGCTTTTATTGGTTCAGCTGGGAGACGCTCATCTAGTCTAACTTCTCTCACCTGGTGTGTGTTCACGACCTCAGGTGCAGCCGCCTCACTCTCATTACAACAAGTCAAATTCATTGTGTTATAGTTATTTACTTTCTATTAGGAACCAGAGCCTGGGTTAGGGGGTTGGCCTGACAGAAGATCCTACAGCTACAGTAGATATGAGAATATAAACCGTATGACAATGCCCGTCATTTGTTGGAATTATCATCAATCAGTTAATCAAATTTTATTTTTATAGCCCATATTCACTAGTTTGTCTCATAGGGCTTAACAAGGTGTGATATCCTCTTCCCTTAACCCTCAACAAGAGCAAGGAAAAACTGTATGGAGGGGAACTTACATCAGAGAGAGCCACACGTGAGGGATCTCTCTCCCAGGACGGACAGAAATGCAATATCTGCTGCGTGTGGCTGAACACATCAACAAAATAATAAAATTTACAACATTGATTTTAAGAAACAATTTTTAATATAATGGAAAGTCTGTCAATGTTTTAAGTATTTATACATGAGAAAATGTCTGATAGAGATGAAGGGAGCAGCCACGACAATTGAAATGGAGTTATTTTTAGTAATGGTAGAATATGTGAGCAGGCACATATTATATCAAGCAGTCTTGTTCAGATATGCAGGAGAGTCTGTAAGTAGATAGGAAAGGAGAACTCCATAATATACTGCATATAATATGATAAAAGATACATGCAAACTTTCAAAGTACAGTGGTAAACTCTGTGCTGTGCCGTGTGCACGTACAGTTTTAAAACTGAATGACACGCCCTAAGAACAGATATTGTCGGTTTATATAGAGGGAACATTTAAGCATCAGTTACTCACAGGAAGAAATGATTGATTTTATTTTATTTTTTAAATCTTGTTCTGGTGGTGATACTGTGAACTGTAATTTTAATGTGCTTGATGTTTAGCACGACAGATTCAATTCAATTCAATTCAATTTTATTTATATAGCGCCAAATCATAATTAACATTATCTCAAGGCACTTTACATTTAAAGGTCAAGACCTTAAAACAATATTAACATAGAGAAACCCAACAGTTCCCACAATGAGCAAGCACAGGCGACTGTGGAGAGGAAAAACTCCCTCATTAACAGGGAGAAACCTCTGGCAGATGTGACAGAGAAGAAATCAGGAGGTCAGCTGGTCACGTGAGGATTCATATCAGTTCTGGATCATGTCGTGAGAATAAAACAGCTGTTATTTTTACTAAATATAAATAAGGGTCTGCCCAGGTGTTAGGGTGCATCACTTTGCTGTGGCATGGCATTTTCTCCTTAAGTTCATAAAGGATGGTCCAGTGTCTCCTCTGCTCAAGGAGATAAGATAAGAGACATTAAAGCTTCAACTCAAACAGCTCTTTATTATTGCAACAGCTGAAATACTTCCAGGTCATTTCCCCAAGTCGGGAACCTTCCTAAGCAAAATTGACTATTCCACTGCACCTTCAGACTCCTACACATTATAATTCTGACATGTTGAATTTTACATTGAAAGGGCTTCTACTGAAGTTTCTTATTGCATTTAGCTCTTTGGCCATAAAGTAAGAAAACCATCAGGCTACAAATACACATGGGACTCTGCTGCTGTTTTCATTCCAGAGTTAACAGGAGTATCACCCTGACGTTTTTAGCACTGACAAGCATGAGCTGTGACAGTGATGATGATAATCAGTCATATGGATTCAAAGACTCATTTCCTGTCTTGGAGCTAGTGAAAAAATAACAAATAAAAATCAGGCAGCCCTTCAATTGCTCAGCTTAATAAGTCTATTGTGCTACATTCATCTTGAAATGGTGTAAACACTTAGAACCCTCTCCTCTCAGTTTATCTTAAGTTTACAAGCTGAGACATTTAACAGAATCATAACTTGTATTAGTGAAGAGTGATACGAGGATATATCTTAGGCAGACATGTGCAGCTATTATGTCTTTTGGATGGTATTTTACTTCACCCAGTTTTCTGGAATTGTGTGATGACATTATACATAACTAGTTCATATCTCAAAGTAAATACACATCCTAAAATGATCATTTAAATCAGTTTAAAGCTTAAAGTGAGGAAAAGCAGCAGTGTCAATTGCATGTTACTGGTCTGGGCATCAGACTACATGCATTATTTGTAATTGTATATCAGGCTACCTTTGAAGAACTGGCTCACAGAAAATCTCCTTCTACAGCCAACTCCAGTACACTTACAATTGTTGCTGAAAAGATTGAATCAACAGTATCAGGAGCCTAAACCAGTTTTATTGGACATCAGATGATATATAGGATTTTGGCAAGTGCCTATGTAGAGCTGATGCAACATCATGCATGTCAGGAATGAGAGCGAGGTCATCTGGTCCTGGCCTCCATTTTGTGCAGAACCACAGTGTCTTAGTTAATAATCATGTCCAGTGCTGATCAGTTTCAGGAGACCGGAACACAGTTGTTTTAATCTTTTACACCTGAGTCTCCTGACGATGGGTTTTGCTCCACGATGACCAGGGGTCCCAACACAGAACTGAGACTCTGGCTGTTGGATTCTGCACAAAAAAAAAAGAAGAAGAAAAGGATGGCGGGTGGAATTAATGACTTCATGCAAGACAGTTCTGTCTAAAAATAACTGAGCTGACATTAGACGATACCCCATTTAACTCCTCTTTTGGAACGGGACTTGCAGGTTGAATCGCAGCAGCTACAGAGGGAGCTCTGAAGCGGGTCATCGAGCAGCTCCCAGCTGAGGAAGGAGATATCAGAGAGGGGTTTTCAAAATAGGTGTTGATACGAGACAGCGACGAGCACCACCACTAGACAAGTGTTGTCACTCAGAAGTAGTGAAAGAAACAACTTCTCAATTTGTTTTTCCATTTCTGTTGGTGTCCTGATTTAATAAAGGAAAAGCTAATTTATTCAGCTTTAGAGGTACGGTTAGTATTTTTAAAGACTGGACAGGGACAGGCTAGCTCCATAATTACCACAAAGATATGAGTGATAATTGATTTGAAGCAGGTATTTTCCAAAAATGTCAAAAACTTTTAAGTTAAACCTTGATTACCTTCCACTGTCTTTTACATAGTGACAGGTCTTCTTGGTCTCACCCAGATCTGCAGGGTCCCATACAACCAGTTTACAGTGGATGTACACCTGGGGAACACACAAGGAAACATTTTACTTTATCAAACCAAGACTCCCGATATCAGCTCCCAATTGATCCCCTCACCTCCTCTCCAAGACCTAACTTGAAGGACTGCAGGTAGAGGATGAGAGCAGACGAGTGGTATCGAGGGAGGAACATAGAGTTTCCCTTCACACTCTCCAAGAGACACCTGAGGACATTTTAAATCTCAGATTAAAGATATGACACATTTTCCAGAGTGATCAATGTGAACAGTAACTCGTATCTGCGTCCTACCCCTTGTTGGCAATGATGGGGTAAACCTGGCTGTCAGGGTGCAACTCTGGTGTAGTGGCTGCCACACACTCCTCCATGAGCAGCAGCAAAGGTTGATGGGACTTCTGCTCCACTGCTGCCCATATTGGCATGAAAGAGCCTAGAGGGATGACGTTTGTCTTGGCTACACCTGTTAATTGTTCTGTTGGGTAAAGTAGAAGACAAAAAAATGAGCAAAATGCACCTTTGAATGTGTTAATATCGTGTTTGGCAGTGTGAGACCTCACCATTGAGGAGCTCCATGTGGACGACCAGGTCGCCTCGACCTTCAGAAACACCAGATCCAGGGTTCAGGAATTGGGGATTCCATGACTCAGGTCTGAAACATAACAGTAAAAGTCCTCATCACACATTTCAGCTTCAAACTGGATTTTTACCACCACCCATTTATAGTAAACTACCTTTTATAAACACATTCGATGGGATATATAAAAGACGCAGGATTTTTCCTCGCCTGCGGCCTGTAAGTGAGGTCATTTTTATAAATGAGGCGTTTTCCTTTCATCTGCAGAGAAAGAACACATGGTTATATAAAATACTAAAAAGTGTCTAAGGTTTTTTTTGTCAATGATCACATTTACTTTACCAGTTTTTTAAACTTGCAGTCAGCGAGCTTATAGTTGAAGTTTGCTTCCCCCTCACCAGTGGGCAGAACATTGAGCTGAGAGGGCATGCAGCTCCCCAGGAAGAGACGAGCGGCATGCGGCACCATCTCCGCACTGATCCTCCATGTGATTTTAACTGAGTCTTTCTCACAGACTACTTTGACATCTGCAAACAAATCCTCAAACTGTCAGCTCCCATCAATCAAACACTTGTACAATCGGTTGGTAAATGTATACAAACACACCTGGTAAATACCTGCATTTGTGACAGTGGCTGCAAAAACAGCCACGGTTATCGCACCTAGGTAGAGATGAGGCACCATGACTGAATGATCAGAAGCCAAGTGGAAACAGCTCTCTTATAGACTTCCTGTCTCATCAGCTGAATGATCAACATCTGTGTCAGAACAGGACAACACCTCCACTCATGCTGGACTGTCTGTGCATTCCAGAAATGTAATATGTTGAGAAGCAGTCATTGCACTTTTTACTCTACATTTTATTTTCATTTTACTCAATACGTTTGATACTTAACTTACAAAATATGATGAATGCAAACTTAAAATGCTGCTTGATAATTGATTTATAATGAATCACTGTTTTGTTGTATTCATCAGAGCGGGTGTATACTACAAGTGCCTTGGTAAGACAGAGATTTGATACCAATAATTGTGTTATTTATTTATTTATTTATTATTGAACTGAAACTACTAATTTCTTATTGTCCACTACATATATTTTAAAGTTCTATGGCAGATATTCATGAATGGATTTCCCTGCAAACTTTTTGAACTTGAAACCTTTTGGTTGATATCATTCTCATCCTTGGGAAGTTTTATGTTCACAAATCCAAGCACCTGAAAGCAAAACGCAGAATAGATTTTTTTCTATTCCATCAAAGCCCTGAAACTCACATGAAGAGAAACAGGATGAACTTAGTCCACATTTTAGAAGGATGTGATTTAGAAAACCACCCCTGGCCCTTTTAACCTAAACTTAATTAATATATATTTGTTTAATTTAGGATTTATTTCATATTTATGTTTTACAGAATGATCCTAGTTTGGTATTTAGATTTATTTTTATTAATCTGAGCGGAACGCTTGTACTTTTTCGCGGTGACGTCCGGAGCGTTCAGCGTGGTACACAGGAAGTAAACTCAAGCCAGGCAGACAAGCGGGTTGTAATTTGCTAGTTCACGAAGTATTCTGGAACCTGTTCCTGTGATTTTGAATCCAAGTGTAGAACCTATTCAACATGCTGATCAAAGTAAAGGTGAGAAAACGCTCTCGTTAAATGTTGTGCTTTTCTGATTCGTTGCTGCTTTTGTTGAATCGCCCGCTAACATCACTCACCGGTTCGCTAATGCACCTCAGGCCAGTGCTCCTCATATCCCAGCTGCATCTTGTGATGTGTTGAAGACATTTGTGTTCCAAAGGTTTTTAGCTCTAGCTTGTCGTCGTGTGTGTTTGCTTGATATCTCGCTGATTTAGAAGTAAACACCTCAGCAGGTTGGTTTGTTCATGGGCCGATGTTACAATGCAATCCCTTAACGTTGTGCAAAGCTGCAGGACAAAACCTAGAGGACAGTTCTCCAGACAGATGTTAGCACCGTCAGAAATAAACTCATGAAGTGTTCGATCGACTACAATAGAAACATCTGAGTCATTTGGGACAATGGACACAACTATAATCCTCGTTCGGCTCAGTTGAATGATGGTGTTGTTCTCTTTTCGACTCGTGTGTTGACTGATGTGATCATGTTTTTATTATTTTTCAGACTCTCACTGGAAAAGAAATAGAGATCGACATTGAGCCCACAGACAAGGTGACATCATGAAATGCATTGTCCTCATGAGATAAACAGAATTCTAAATATTCTTAACTCACACAGCAGTGCATCATGTGTTAATATCCTGTGTTTGTTTACATCAAGGTGGAGAGAATTAAAGAAAGGGTAGAGGAGAAGGAAGGGATCCCCCCGCAGCAGCAAAGACTTATCTACAGTGGAAAACAGATGTGAGCTCCTCCACTGTTGAATACATCTTCCTTCATAATAGAAAATATCTTCTTTTTTTTTTGCTCTTCTTCTCCTCTAAACAATCTCTTCCTCTCCCCTGTGTTGTTTTGCCCCCAGGAACGATGAGAAGACGGCGGCAGACTACAAGATCCAGGGCGGCTCAGTGCTCCATCTCGTGCTGGCGTTAAGAGGAGGATCTGCGGTCCACAGTCTCGGCTGCATACACCCCTCCTCCTCGTCATGAGCCGCTGTTGTCACAGGGGCCAGCCGAGTGCCAACAGTCGAGGTGTCCATCACCATCTTAAACCGTGCTACGGCACAGAGATTTGAAACCCCACGCTCCCTGGCCGACGCAAACAAATAAACAAAAGAAGAAGAAAAAACAACAAAGGACGTTCTTATCTCACTGAAAATGTTTTTGTCAACCCACATTAGCTCTCTGAGTTTGACCCATTGATGCAGGCACCCATGCAGTACAAGAGACAGTGTGAGAACCCTGTGGTCTTTTTGCTTGTGAATAAATGTTGAAGTTAATTTAAGCTTTGTCATCGAATACACACACACACACACACACAGAGAAAGACACAGAGACGGGTCACTGAGGATTCTGAAAACTTCTGTTGTTTTATAGAAAATGACATGAGACTGAAAATTCAAAGACAAATATAAACAGTTGATAGAATACTCCCGTACACTTTAGTGAAGGTAGATTGTGCTTAAATCAATTTACAGCACCACTGCTTGTATCCAGTCTTCAGTGTTTTCAAAAGTTCTGTGATATGAGGTGATTTTTCAAATAACTCAGATAATACACTTTATTCATCTTATGTTTGACAACTTCCAAGTATCATGTTAGAGATTTCCAATGTACATTTGTAGTTTTACTTACACGGTTATCATCTCAAATATACATCTTGTTTTTCTTGTATCACTTTACATAGTCTCCAGAAATTAAAACAATTTAATAAGGAGCCCCTGTAAACAATTGACAAGGAAATAATGGTCAGAAAAAACAAGTGTTGCTTGTGGGAATGATAAAAATGTTTATTTGACAATACTCCTTTCTTTTAAAACCATTTCTTAGCCTTCAAAATTAAATAAGACATTTTATATTTTAGAAAACTTCATTTCTTGAGAGGGTGGAAGGCACAGGGGAGAGAGGAAGATGATGCTCTGATACTCATTTCAGCTGAAGAACACAAGACAAGTGAATTCCAAGACACATGGCTGTTTAAAGTCTTCAACCCTTCAGATTCAAATTCCCGTCCCTGCATTTTCCAAATAAAATCAAGCGTTGTGGATGAAAGAATAACACATTCGTCGTAGTGGCTCATTAGTAAGTGTTCAGCTGCTTTACAGTGGAGTGAAGAAGGTCGAGGAAAATGAGGAAAAAGTGAAATCGCCTTGTAGTGGAGTATAAAGTTGAGTTGATCCAGTGACTTAAACTGATAGAAGCCACACTCAAATGTATAATTAAAGACTGAAACCATCTGAATACAATTGACTGGAGGAGTTAAAATAAAACCCTGGTTGAAACTTAGTGGATATTTGTTTGGACAGTCATAAAACTTCTTAGAAAATACTATTATTTTGTCATTTCCATGTTTTACCTGCATATTCCACAGCTCGTGTCGTGAATCACATTTATACATCAGCTGCAGGCGAGAGGAGAACTATGTGTTAACACGAGGCTGATTTCCTGTGAGAGAACGAGTGTTTTTCATCTCTAACAACACCAGAAATAAAAAAGGTGGGTATTTGAGGAACAGCAGGTTGGACTGTAGAGTGGAGTTTTTTACAGCAGGCTGTGAGTGAGTCTGACGGCTGCTGACTCATCCACACTCAGCTGTCATAGTCCAGCAGGACTGACTAACACCCGTCAGAGGGCTGGGAACGAGTCGACCTGGACGGTGTCCTGAAAGGCTGATCCTTGTCTGGTGTAGGAAACGCGGATCCTCATCTTCAGGCTCACCTGGAGGAGGAAAGAAGGATTTGGATTCTATTATTAGACTCAGATGAGCTCAGTTTCATCTGGAAAAAGAGTTAAGAATAAGATCCGGAGCTGGCTAAAGGAAAACGTTTGCAATGACGAATGTTTTTTTTAAGTGGTTTGTGGGAATTGTGGGAAATATTTGGGGATGGGCTGTAAAGAATCATTCTGTTTTGGTTTCGCAATGATTGAACAGAAAAGTCACATTTGTCGGGTGGTCATTTTCTTACTTGCTCATGCAGTTTGTATAAATTGATCAAACTTTGCCTCCTATTGACCAGCGCGCCGTCACACATATGCGAAAGCAGCCAAATATCACAGGTCAGAGTTCACCAAAGTTGAAGCACACACAAAGCCACACAGCAGCTTTGCTTCACCAGAGGAAGCGGAGGTTTTATTCGCTCCCTCACACGCACATATTGGAAGTGAACAGGAGGCAAAGGTTCACCACTACTACATTCGTGTATGTGTGACAGTGCCCTTAATCCGAGTTATCCGCCTGCGTCATCAACCACCGCAGACCCACCTTGTTTGGGTTGTTGAGGACCACCATCTGGGTCACCTTAGCTGCGCCTCGTGCAGGGAGAGAGTCCCCACTGGGGGCCTTCATGTGTAACTGGACACTCTGCAGGGAGATCAAATACAACTTTGAAGTTTAGGGCAGTGGACGTGTTCCTGTTGTTGCTCCCTCTACCACTGACAACATGACACACAACAGGGCCGAGGCCAAGCTGTGACACATGCTGAGCTCGTGAGGCCAAATTCCCCTGAACAGTCCCACCCCGTGAAGAAATGTTAGCCACACACCAAAACAATGCCCATTTAGTCAAAGTTATTACTTACCTTAATGTTACAAACCTACACAGTGGCCTAAATGTAGATTCTCCATACTGCCAGAAATATATGGCAGAAAAATACAATATCATCTTAGCATAAATCAATATAAATTCAAATGTGTATATCATATTTTTTAAGTTGTAAAAAAATGTTGGTCTAAAGAAACGCTACGTTTCTATATTACACACTTTATGGGGGCTCAGGGGGTAGGGCAGGTCATCCACTAAACAGAGGGTTGGTGGTTCGATCCCAGTCCTGTCAATTCCACGTGCCAAAGTGTTGGGAAACATACTGAGCCTCACATTACCCCTGAAGGCTTTGCTGGTAGTGTGTGTTTTACATGTGATAAAGAAAATGCTGCACACACTGTATGAATGAGTGTGGGAATGGTTACTGTACTGTGAAGCGCAGTGACTGCTCATCAAGACTACAAAAGCACAATATACATACAAAACATTTACCATAACAAACCATATATAAAATATTCCTTATATTATTTTACATTTATATAGGATTATATCATTATAAGATTGGGTAAATATTAGTCCCAGACACTCAGATATGTTCTCACTGGAAGCTACATCCCTGCCTCAGAGGGGGAGATGGGAGAGGATGGAGATACAAAGTACAAACTATAAACCTGAGCAGCCAACACGAATCTGTCAGAGCTCCCACTCACAACTGCCCAATACATTTTTCAGTCTGGTTATTTTGAGTTTGCCTCTGCAGACTTGAATAGAAATCTTGCTTTTTTTAGAATGACGTGTGGCTTCTTATGATGGATAACATACATGGTCTGACCGAGGACGTTTTCTCAGTTGAGTGTCACTGGTGCTGAAACCAACCTTGGGTACAGCAGCTTGCAGGGTGAAGCCGCTGATGTCCGAGTCAGTGGAGTTGGAGGCTGTGAGTGTGACTGTCAGACCTGAGTCTGACTGTTTCTCACAATGAAGTGTCAAAGTCACCCCGTCTTTCTCATACACTGTCACTGTGGGAGCTGTGGAAATAAAAGACTGCATTTACTTGAATCTTACCAAAGAAAACACACAGAAATAGAGGAATATGATTTGACGCAATAAAATGTCAGTTTCTCTAGTTTTGCTTCCAAAATCATTTCCTCTGCCTGGTTTCTTTCTCTTTAGCTACTTTCAGACCTACACTGAAGTCCAGACAGTTTCCTGAAATTTGAGAGGGGCCTAAACTTTTCCTGCCAGCCCCCAAATAAAATGTCCAGAAAATAATAAAGTGAGTTCATGTGAGAATACGGCAGGAAAATATCCAGAACATTCACAGCGGGTGTGTGTGGATGATGTTTCTCACAAGAGACAGATGCGAAACTGGAAGAATGCAAATTTCCGAGAAAGAAAGAGGAACCATACATGTAGAAAAACAGATGAGGATGTCAACTTGGAAACACAACTAGAACGCCAATGTCGATGTGCTGTAAACAAAATACTGCTTTCTGCAGCAGAATTTAAACGTCATGACAGCACCCCATGCCTGAATGTTCCGGACATTTTCCTGCTGCTGTGAACGCGTCTGACTCGAACAATCTCCGGCTGTGTTCTTCATATGTGAAAGGCAAACTATGGAAAATGTTGAGTTCATGTCTAATAACTTTTTTTAATTTTCATTCTCTAGTAGCGTGTGTAGTGTTTGTGTGTCCATCGGACCTGGTGCCAGGGGCGTTGGCTCTAGCCCTCCCAGCAGATCCAGCAGGTCTCCTCCTGCAGTGCTGGTGGTGTTGATGGACAGACCTGGTGCTGTGCTGCTCTGTAATGGACTGGGCTGCAGAGGCTCCTCGGAGCCACCCAGCAGGTCCAAGAGATCACACACCTGAAGAGAGACACAGACAGAGAGAGAAACTACAGCTTCTTCATTTGAGTCTCAACCAAAACAAGCTGTAGAGAATAATATTAAAGAATAAATGTTAAGTAAAACTAAAATATGTCATTTATATTTCTACAATTATTCTATACAACCAATGAAAATAAAACTAAACCCTCAATAGAGACAAAACTGTGCTTGGTTGTGTATCCTCGATCATTGTGAAATTCACTAATACAAGTTGTTAAACTGTTTAGCTTAGCATTCCAACTTGATTTGCATAAAAACAGAGATCGAGGTTGGCACGAAAAAACTGCAATGTTGTTTGACTAACACAGTACTGATATTTGCATCAGGACACAGGTACTGACCTTCCACCCAGAGGGATCATTATCTATTATCGACAGATGAGTTGCAGTGACGTTAAACTAAAATATTGAAACCACATAAAAACAGATGTTGGCTGCCGGGAAGTATCCACCCGGTGGAGCCTCTGTTGCTCGGGGGTGGACGGACACATTTGTCAGCCTCATTTGAAGCCTTCAAAATGGGACAGTCTAGTTGTGCCTCTGAAGGATGCGGCCCCCAGACTGAGACACAGCCTCTGGCTCCAAATGACGCCAAAAGCACAAGATGGAGGCGTCCATATCGCAAAGTTTTACTTATCGTCATGTACCTGGTTAGCAGGCTGTTGTTGCAGCAGCGGCTCTGCCTTCTTGACTGTAGCTGTTTGGATCTCCTTCACGGTTTCCCCCGCTGACTCTCCATTGATATGACCCATGGAGTTCTTTTCAATCACAGGCATCCTCTCCAGCACCGCTGCCCTGTGGAGAGACACAGCATCTCAAAACCACACCTGTAACCACAACATGCAGGAAGTCGAAACTTAAGAGCTAAAAAAGTTATTGTCTTAATCGAACCTCATACCTCATGTGGTCATATTTTTTGAACAGAGCATTGTATTCAACTGCCCTCTGCTGGAGCTCCACGTCTAAACAGCTGCCGTAGATGCTGACAATGCTTCTGATCCGACTGGACGGGGTGGGGCGACAAAAGGAAAGAGACGGAGTTAGAGGATTATTTGTAAATGTTGCGTCTCTTTTCTAAAAGATTCACTGCTCTAGTTTCAAACCTAAGGCTCCTCAAAATTCGTCACTATCAATATCTGTTGGAGACCAGATGTCGATCAACACATGCAGCATTATATATGGCACATTAGAGACACAGATTCACAGGGCCTGAGAATGAAACTTCCCAGAAAATATTAGCATAAGATTAGACATAAGATATCAAAATGTAAAGTCTTTTATTATAACTATAGCACTAGTGCAGCATCATCATCAATAAAATGTTGAAAAAGTTTTTGAGTCATTGCTTTTGACCAACAGAACTTTCTGTTTCTATTTCTTTTAAATAGCGACCTACGTGGCCATGTTTTTCAGTTGCATGCATTCCTTGTGTGTGGTGAGTGACTCCAGTGTTTCTTACTCCACGTTGTCAGTGATGCGTGTGCTCAGTTTCATGGTGGCGGTGAGAGCAAAGCCCCTGGTGGCTGGGGAGGACATGTGGGACTGTAGAACTGTTTCCAAGGCATCCAGAGCATCGTCTTCAGTGACCTGATAAAGAGACGCGTCATTTAAGGGTTTTAAAGCTGCCGTCATAACTGTAGAAAACTGAAACGATTACATTGTTTACTTGCCAGTGTTCATCCAGTAGCTACACTACAGTAACACAATTCAATACACTTCCTGTATGATACGCAACACTAGTATTTAGGGTTAGGGGATTAAGAATTAATAAAGATTCTTGGTATTGGAGAATTTTCTCTTTTATTTCCTGATTTTGCAATTAAGAAAATGTCAGATGCTTAATTAAAGACGACCAGCAGGGGGCTTGGGCTGGACTTAGTATGAACTTCTGTTATGTGATTTATTATTTCACTGTTCAGTTATGTGTAAAATTTTCAAAGTGAACAAAAGGCTGTTTGACATTAAAGGGTTCAGTTCGAGAGCAGGACTTATCGATGTCACGTTCAGATTTTGTAATGCTCCCACTCAAAACCCTGCACTCTCTATCAAATATAACCTGCTTGTGCTTAGATTTCCTGCGCTCCAGCTTAAGCTCTTCTGCTCATGCTGCTTTTGTGCGCATGTGAAATGTCAGATTTTACCTTCTGCACTTGGATTTTTTTGTGCAACAAGTCTGTCAAAATTCCAAAACCAAAAGTATCCATGAGCAGACCTTTCACATGTGCACATTAGGAGCGTGAGGAGAAGAGCCGAAGCTCAGGATATCTAAGCACAAGCCATAACGTTTGAGTGCAAGCGGCAGGGTTTGAGTAAATCTGAGTGCAAAAAAAGTCAGAGACCATGCTATTGAATAAAGATAGGAAAAAAGAAACATCAACTTTCTGTACCATAATGGCAGCGTGTGGAAAAAGAACTAATATCACTGTCATCATTTATCTGCACTACACTTCCCAGAATTCACCTATAACTCAGACACTGAAATGTGAGATCCTGCATATATAACACAAGGCTTTGTTTGTGCTGCATTGTGCTTTGTTTGGCATGTAGAAAACATCCAGTGATAACAACACCAGATACAAGATACAGATATAATACTGTCATGATTTAGTAACACAGTGGATCATTCATGGATAAAGAGAAATCATTAATATGGGCGTACCTGTGCAGCCTCAGTCTCCTGACACTCTCCTTTCAGCAGCAGGTCTCCATACTCTCCTATACACCAGCAGGCCACCTGCACCAGGGATTGCTGCACAGACCCACACAGAAAACATGACCTACTACATAGTGTATTACAGTCACAGTAAAATGTAAAATAATTGGTCAGGTTCCTGGTACACTGGCTCACTGGTCAGCAGAGCAGTGTGCTGAATTGTCACTTTTCCCTGGACTCACAGGAAGTTAATGTTGGAATACGTGGGAAACTGCACTACACTGCACAGTGAGTACACGGCTGCTCGTCTGACTTGATTCTAAAAATAAACCTCGGTGCATCAGGCATTTTTAAAAACTGAAAGCCAAGCTATTTTCACTGCCACAGAACCGCAGCTCTGTCTGCTCCAGGACTGACACATTTTTCTCTCTGATGAAAATATTTATGCATCGCCTGAGTTTTTCTCTGATATTTACACTGTTAATTCTATTAAAATAATTCTTAACAATGGATTTTAAGATTTTTACTTTGTCAAATGCCAAATGAACTGAAACTATAGTCAATCCTGAGCAGTGTGTGAAATGAAATGAGTGTTGTCTGGTCTGCTTTGCTCACTATGGAATATTCTTATATCTGTAAGAATGTGTGTGTGTTGATATCGATAATCATCACAATAAATTTCACATTATTTAAGTTTAAAGACGGATTTTTGCTCCTGAGTGAAGGTTGTGGTTTTAAACTCTGCTTCATGATGTTGATGAGACCACATTACAATTAACATGAATAGGAATGTTATTTTTTATTCTACTTTGAGACCCATAAATAAGCCTGAACTTAGTCAAATATACAGATGTATTAAGTATAATAAAAAAAAGTTAATTGTTGATTTAAAATGCATTGTAATGAATATCTCAAATATATTCTACTATTTGTATCGATAGGAACAGTATGGAGTAACCGGCAGAATTTATTCTTCAGTTACACTGCATGAGTAAACTGACTGCAAGGTACTCTAACAACAACTGATAATGGCCACACAAGCACACGCATGCACACACACATGCACACACCTGAGAGATGTCAGTGAGCAGGGCGCGGTAGAGCTTGTGGACGGTGTAACAGTGCAGCTCAGAGGTGTTGGTGATGAGCTGGATCAGATTGGGAACAGTTTCATCTCTCACGTCGCCCCCTGCCTGACAGAGTAAGGAATCAGAGTTAAACACATGCACACAAACATGCACAATAAGTCCATTAGCTAGACAGCTGGTACAAGTATCAGGGTCGCCCTATATCTCCTCCCAGACCCTATGACCTCACTTTGAGAGAGAATTTCCATAATACCACATCCCCATTATATATCTTTGTGCACAATTTACTCTCCATCATTTTGAGAGACCACTGAAAAGGATTAGTGTGAGCATTAGCTTGTGCAGCAGTCATTAGCGTTTCATTTATTCTCTTTCCTAAATGGAGGGTCAAATGACAAGTAAGGATTTCAACGTAGTGTAAAATGAGAAGCATTAGAAGAGGATAAAAAGCCTTTTCAGAACAGTGGGCGGCATCTATGAAAGTTTGTACAGAAGGTGGAGGCCTCTGGTATCTGCACTGAGGCGTGACTTGTTAATGACGGCAGCGAACGACTGTAAAAGAGTCGTGAGTGTTACGCCCATGTCAGAGGCAGCAGGGTGAGTGGCTCAGTCTGTATTTACCGTGGTGAGGACATGCAGGATGGTGTCAATGTGCCAGCGCTGGGAGGGTGCATACCTGACAGAGACACACACAGCTAACTCAGTGGTGCTTGAGGGTGACTCAGAAACACACACACAATTGCATCTAGAACATACCACTGCTTCCACACACATACACACAAACAGGGAGGTGCATTAAGTGGTGGAGTGATATACAGCAGAAACACTGGAGGCTATTAATTGTCACAGAGGCAGCTATGGACAGGGACGTCATTGAGAGTGGAGACAGACACAGTCAGATTTCCAGCCACACACACATACACTGTACATTTCAAGCACAGAGACTCTTTGTTGCAGCTTTTACACTTAAAGGTTCAGTGTGTAAGATTGTGCAGAAATTGAATATAAAATAATCCTATTGATGTTTTTTACCTTTGGTTTTCTTTACCCTAGAATGGGCCCTTTATATTTAAATACTTAGTATTTGAATCAGGAGCATATCAGCCTCTCTACAGAGTTTTTTTTACAGTCGTCCAAACTGGACAAACTAAACGCCTTTTGAGTTTTTATGACAACGTAAGGCGACCACGTTTGGAAGGGGAGGATGAGAGGTATTCAGCTGCAACATCCAACTTTACCTCTAGATGTCACTAAATTCTACACACTGAACCTTTAAACAGCAAGATCACATTTATTATAATAAATGCATTCGCATGCACATGAATGTCTGTGTGCACGCATGCACTGATACAGTATGTGTATGTATTACAACCATGTATGTGCACATTTTTGTGTCGGGCAGCGTGTCACCTTTCAGCAGCGTTGAATATGCCGCTGGCAGCGTGAGCTTTTAGCTCCGGGGGACAGGAGGAAAGGAAGAGGAGCAGCTCCTTCATCATGGTGCGAATGTTGGAGGCTGACACAAGAGCTAAGGAGAGCTCCAATGCACGGCTGGAGGGATGGGAGGAGACAAACAATCATGTAAAATATAACGTATTAAAACTTTGAAATGAGACCTGAAACTGTGAGTGTTCACAATTGAGACTGTTAATTCTGTGTAGATACAGCACCGATCAGTATGTTCTCTACTGTCCAAGTGTGGGTGTAACTGTGGAGCTCAGTGGGTACAGAACATAGTGGGCTTAAAGATGGACGACATGACAGCTATTGAAAAGTGAAGCCAAAACACCTTGAGCTCCTGGTGGCTGACTGCAGTAAAGGTCAGAAACCCTTCCCCCTACATGTTAGCAGAGGGGACATGGACCAAACGATATTTGATGCTATAAAGACATCTCAGTCTGCATATGAAACACATATATCGAGAACTGTTCATCTTATGGGCTTCACACTTTGCGTGTGTATTGTTAAGGGTCCAGGGAAGTGCAGTAACAAATTTGGTGCATTTTGGACATGCGATACATACTCATCAGCCCGTTCATGACAATGACAGCTCTTGGTTCTGTGTACTCAGTCAAACTTTACTGGACTTTGAATTAATAGGTGAACAGAGGTGTTGCAGCTTTATGGTTCTGTGGACTGAGTCTTGCAGTCGGTCTTTACTTGCTACATCTCAATTACTGCAGGTCACTTTTACTGTTTTGAAGAAAAAGCTGCAACCAGCATTACCACAGGCCAAGCAAACAACCCATTCCAAACAGACATGATTAGAACTGGCACTGCATCTATACATTTGAAAACAATAAAATCTAAATTGTGTTAGAAGACACACATTAGGTTATGACATTTGAAAAGCAGGACCTCAGAGAGTCAGGTTTACTGAACGAAGTGAAAGTTACCGTTTTACAGAAGCGTCCTGGTCCTTCAGACAGTCCACTATGGTTCCTCTGTGGCGCTGCACAGCATTGTGGTCTGTGCAAACAATCTTTTGAAGGGAGGTCATGGCGATGTACCTGGACACACATAATCAACACTGAAAATTAAGATTTTATATTTTAATCATATCATATATTAATTCATCGGCTAACAATAAAGATTAATTCACAGTGCTGTGCAGACTTATCTTCCTCAGCATTACCGCATAAATTATTTATCTAACCACTTGAAAGGTCTCATGAGCTGATCAAGTATTTATGTGAGCACAGGAGAGATGGGATCTGGTGGAGGGTTCTCACAGGAATAACCTAGTCCTATTACTGCCACACAGAAGAGAGATACAGGCTGACTGCAGGTAAAGACCAGAAAGGCCTGACACATGGAGGCAAACCTAATGAAAATAGGAATATAATTAAACCCAAAGGAGCCGTCACAGTCCTCCTCACTGCCTGATGAAAAATGAAATGTCCCCAAGTTGTGAGATCAGCATAAAGGTACAGACAGCAGCCGCCTGCTCAGCTCTAGAGGAATGAGCTCGGATTGATGGCAGGCGGTTTCTCTCTGTGGCTGCAGAGAGTTTGGTGAGTTAGAGGATTGGCCTTGAGCAAGAGAAAAGGTCAAATGACCACAAGCTATACAAGAGAAAGGAGGGAGAGAATGAGGAAGAGATGGAAAAGAGGACAAAAAGGAGGCGGCGCTGACCGAATGTTCCTGTCGTTGTTCAGAAGGAATCTTCCCAGGATGTTCACGGCCAGAACCTGTGACACAACAGAATTGAAGCACATTAGATAAAACTGATCTGTGTATTAATGAGGTTGCACACAGTGAAAAGATTTGCTGGTGTCTCACCCTGAGGCCGCTCTCTGACTTGATGTCCAGCACAGTGAGAACAGTCTCATACAGCACAGCGTTGCCCACTGTCTTAGTGCTGTCAGTGTTGGTCGCCACCTGTACGTCACACACGCGTCAATACAGTCACACTGTGTCTGTAACTGACCATTAAAGATCTGTGACATTTTTTAAATAAATAATAGTGTTTGCTATTTGCAACCATCAACTGACTGAGGAGATTTTTAATCCACAATTTTTTTTTCACCACAAAAATTGATGACAAATCTTTTCAAAGAAGAAAATACCATGGAGCTTAGATTCCTTTTTTAACTTAGTGCAGGATAGTCAGCATGAGCATCATTGCCATGGCTGAGGCCACACAAAAGGAACTACATGAATAGAAAAATATCACAGAATGTAAAGGCGTTGCAGGCTCTGAGTGAAAAACGGACCTGAGCGAGTAGGTCGTTCATGGCGTCACTTGCTGTTTCATTGTTGCGTCCGAGGATTCTCAGCAACCTCAAGATTCGTACCTGAGGATGGAAGCAGGTGAGAGTAAACAGCTGGACTGAAGGTTAAACTAGGTTAAACTAACATCAAATAGGCAAGAACGGAAGGGCGACTGAGATAATACGTGTGTATGTTTGTAGCTGCTTTCAGACATGCACCTAACTCTGGATAATCTCTTGAAATTATCCAGAAGAGCTATTTGAGAGAACGCAAGTGTCCCACTCAGAGGCTTTGGACATTCTCCAGAGTTTCTCCAGACAGCTACCTGGTAAAAAGTCTAGATAATGTCCGAGTGAGCCCTTGTGAGAATAAACACGAGTCGAATTAAACAAGACATTTTTTTTCTTAATAATGTCATTGAATCAAAACTAACTGACCTGTAGGAAGGGATCACTGATTCCTGCCACATCATGCTCTGGAGAGTAACCGGAAATGACCAGACCTTTCATGATCTGAACTAGATCTGGTACTATCTGAGAAACACACAGCGAAAAACTCATTAAACAGTGCACACTGAACTCAACAGATCTGTGAGTGAATGTGCACGTCCGTGTGTCCCTCGTACCTTCCTGAACCGCTCGAGTGTCTCTGTACTGCGCTCACACAGCTCAGTGATGAGCACCACAGCACCATGTAGCACACCTATAGATACAGAAATACTTAGAACTATACGTTTGTAACGGGGTTACTGATACGTCATATTTCATTGAGATCTACTGACCGTGGTTCTTCTCCACTAAGAGGGAGCGAGCAGCTGGAGCAAAAAGCTCCCCGAGATCGTGGACTTTTCTCACGATGTGAACAGCACACAGAGCAGCCTGGAAGAAGAGAAGAGGAGCAAGTCATCAACACCAATACATCATTACTACAACACAGATCAGAGGACAAAGAGGACCAAAATCCATGTAAGCAGCAGTTCTTTTAAAAACCCATAAGTAATACTATTGATAAAACTAACTGGTTCCGCCCTAATAAGAATAACTAGTGGATAATAATAAAATAATAATACGTTCTAAATGAGCAGCACTTTATAATTATTTTGATCAAAGGGAAGTGTGTCACTATAGCTTTAAACATTCTTCATTTCTGTTTTTCATTTCATTTGTATTCCGTTTTTAAAGAAAGTATCATTCATGCAAGGACACATGTACTAAAAAGAAAACCACAGCATTGAATAAGGTTTGTTTAGTGATTCACAACAATGCCGGAGGTCATAATGTGGTCGTTATAAACAGCGATTATCCCTGTGCAGGTCTCCACCTTCTTCTTGATATAGGAGTTGGAGGCTCGGAGCAGCCTGTCGATCTCTGGCGCCAGATCTCTGCACATCTCAGCGGAACCCATACAAGCCAGAGTGCACAGAGCCAGAGACTGTACGTACTGGTTACTGTGAGACAGGTCACTGAAACACACACACAAATGTGTTCAGCATTTTATGGAAATCACATGAGAATAACCTCCATTTGATGTAGTCTGTGGTGTCCATTCAATCTTTTTTCTGATATACTGAACCCTAATTGGACATTCCCCTTTGTGAACTAGCTGTCAATAATATGGCATTCATGTGCTAATGCATACCAAGCTTCATCGTCTATTTTACTCTAAACTGGACCATTATTTACAAAATGGGCATCATGCTGTATTGAAGAAGACTTGAAACTAGTGCCATAAACTCCTTAGGAAAATGTTTACTGATGTTTTCTCCTAGACTTCTATTGAAACTGACTCTTCAAGAGAATACAGGTTTGGCTTTACTTTCCAAACCTGGAGGTATGTCAAGTTTTAAGAGATAGCAGCAGAGATATTATAGTTTTATTCCTCACATTGTTCTTCCTTCTTCCAACCTGGTGCCTACATTACCCACAATGATCTGAGTGTGTCGTGCTTGTATTGGCTGATGTAGCCTCAACCCAAGATGAGGAGCAGGTTATAGAGATCTGACGTAAAACGAACTTTTCTTCATTTTTTAAAAGTCTAATCTTCAGTCAAACAGACACTGACATGTGTCAGACTTTACAAAGCTCCCCCTAGAGCTCAAAATAAAGTTGATACAGTAATTTGATCACATGTGCAGCAGTACTCCTCAGGATAAACTCTCAAATGCAGATATAAAATGATGTGTTACCTAAATTTTAAATTAGTAATAATCATTTGTTGAGACTTCTCCAGTTATTGCTTTCCTTACTTTTTGATGGAGTTGGTGATGAGCAGGCTGGCGTCCTGCTTTTCGTCCAGCAGCATCATGGCTCCTAGATACCCCACCCGCTTCTCACTGTAGCGGGGGCTGGCGATCATCCTCACACACTCCATCTAACAAGGAGAGCAACAACGCCTTTACATGTGAAGCTACTATAACTAATAGTACCAATGTCCCTGAGGGGAATTCTCAGTCTGAGGGTATCCTCAGCCGCAGCCTTGGAGATAGGAGTGAGTCACTGACCCAGTTCCAGTGTCCTTCCCTGTGGACTCACAGACTTTGACATTAACCCCTGCAAAGACTTAACCATCGTAGCATTACTAGTGTAGTATGATTTTGCACGTGACATCAATCATGTACATTTTTGCTGAGCACACAGATGATGTCTGCAAGGGATCAACGCTCACGACATAGTCTGTTGTTGAACCCAGTCCCTCCAGCTGCCATGATGGTTTCTCGCCCTGCTAAACCCCATTAAACCCATGACGGGCATTAGTGAAAATCCCCTCACCTGACCAAAGTGAGCTGGGTAGCCCAGCATGTGCACGTAGAGCAGCTTGGCCAGGTTGTGCGATCGTGCCCCGCTGTCTGTCTGCCTGAACTGGGCCCGGATGGCGGCACACTCCCTCTGGATGACGCCCCGCTCCTCACACTGGGTCCTGGCCGACCTGATGGCCCGGATCATCTCTTGGAGGGGTATGGATGGAGACATGGCTGTGTGTGTGTGTGGGAGTAGTGTGTGTGGGTGAGTGGATGGGAGGAGGGGTGTGTTTGGAATGTGTGTATGTGGTGTTGAGGAAGTGTCAAAATATAACATTAACAGAGAAAAACAAACTGTACTGAGTCATGCAGTGTTGTTGTTCCAGCCTATAAAGGTAAATACAATGTTGCTACTGCACTGTAATAACACTCTGCATGATAGTTTATATCTTTGCAGCCACCACAACTACATCTGCAGTCGTGTTAACAATGGCTGCTCATGTTGACAGGTTATTTACACGGATCCAGCTGCCTTCACAGAGAGTAAACAACACATATCACTGTGTGTATGAGCCACCGACACGCTACTGACACGCTACTGACTCACTCACAGTGATGAGCTGGCTAACAGGTTAGCAGGACACTCCCACACTGCGGGTCAGTGAGTGGAGCCAGAGGCTAACTGCTGGAGCCCGGCTAACCCTGCTGCTGCTAAACACACCGGAGCTAAAGAGCTAGCTGGGTTAGCACCGCGCTGGGTTCATGCTGAGCGGTTAAACGTGAGAAGTAAAACGTACCTATGTCGCCGAACAGAGTCAGAACAGTGTTCACAGAATCAGACCGGTTCTACCGACCCTCCCCCTCCACACGACGGCAGTCAGTCCGCTGGAGACCACGATCCGGTGCTCACCGTCCATGTAGGGACCAAGCTTCCGTAAATAATCACACCACTTCCTGGTTAGGGTTTCAAAATACAATCCTGGTTCGAGAAATACTGCGGTTGGATCATGTTGTGTAGGAGTACAAATACAATCTTTGAGGGATTTGGCAGAAAACAGTTACAAACTATAACCTGTCACGTACCTACCTCATCCAACCTACATACCCATTAGAGCATCCATCCACCGACCTGCTTCAATACATACCTACCTAAATTCATACATACCTATCTCCCTTAATAAATACCAAACCACCTACCTGCCTCCCTAATTCAACTATATTCTCTCTGATATACATTTCCTTACATGAATATCTGAATGCTGTTTCACATGATACACATACGCAATTTAAATGGGGCAAAACTCGAACATTTGAGAGGCCGAGAGCAGGGGTCCCCAAACATTTCCATGCCATGGCCCCCCAAACAGCATTAGCTTCTTGCCAGGGACCTCCTTTGCAAACCCCCAGAAAATGCTACAAAATATGTAAAGAAACATCAACTTTTAGAATGTTTTTTCTTACTTTTATTCACTATTCGATAATTATTACATTCGTTTAGCATAAGAATATTATTAACTAACTTGTTTTCAACACTGTAATATATTCCCACTGAATAACAAACTTTTTAACAAACTGTTGATGATAAGAACAGAACAAAAGAAATCAAACCTCTCAAGTGTGTGTGTGTGTGTGTGTGTGTGTGTATGTGTGTGTGTCTGGAAGTGACAGACAGAGATTACACTAGTGGGAGGGATGGGCTTGAATGATGTCATGAATGATGCTTTGACTGGCAGGAAATCAGAAAGATGAGCACGGCAAATAACATTTCGATATGATATATTATTATAAATTTTATTTTATAATAATGACTTAAAGAAATTAGATTATATTTTAGGATAATGATTAAAAAATATATATCTTTTTTTATTTTAGCTTTTTTTTTTCAACCTTCCCTCCAATTTTCTGAGGCCCCTCTAGCGCCCCCCCAGTTTGAAAAACACTGGCCTAGAGTTCTCGTAGCCTTTATTTTGAAAGCATCATCACCTTGTTTCCCGTCGTATTTGTGGCGCTGTGACGTATTGACCCACCTAGACCTGTCACTCCTTCCTCTGACTTCCGCAATTTGATCGCTCACTCGTTCCTGTGCCCCGCCCTTTCTACGTCGGGTGATCAACAGGTGGATGAAACATTGATGAGGTGCAGCAGATTCCACTGCAGAGCAAACTACAACACAACGTGACACAACAGTGCACCACAATCCTCAGTCACTTCCTGTACATGAAAACATTCAAGTCATTCAAAATGCCTGACATAATTATATGATTGAAAAGATTAGATGTGTTGTCACGTGTGTACTAAATATATATCGGAGATGCACTGTGGAGAGGTCTTGATAGGAAGTGGTTGAAAATAAACAACTCTCTGATTTCTCTTTACAGATGAGGCTGTTTTCTTGATACTAAGGTCCAGTGTGTAAGATTTAGGTGAAAGGATCTATTGGCAGAAATTTAATGTAGAATAATTCTCATGATGTTTTCACTTGTTCATTTCATCTAAATTGTATGAATTGTAGTTTTCTTTACCTCAGAAAAGACCCTTTATATTTAAATACTTTATATTTACATCGAGGGGACCCTCTCTACGGAGGCCGCCACGTTTTTTACATTAGTCCAGACTGGACAAACTAAAACCTTTTGAGTTTTCATGACAACTGAAGCTTCCACAGGTTCTTTTTCATGTTTGGAAGGAGAGGGTGAGGTGAGGGGTGTTCAGCTGCAACATGCAATTTCAATACTAGATATCACAAAATTCTACACACTGCACCTTTAAAGGTTCAGTGTGTAGAATTTACTGACCTAGAGATGAGGTTACATGTTGCAGCTAGATACTCCTCATCTCACCCTCCACTTCCAAACATGTAAGAGAACCTGAGGTGAACTTCAGTTGACATGAAAACTCAAAAGGTTTTAGTTTGACCAGTTTGGACGACAGTAAAAAACATGGTGGCCTCTGTAGAGAGAACCCCTCGATGTAAATATAACATTTTTAGATATAAAGGGCCTTTTCTGGGGTAAAGAAAACTACAATTCATACAATTTAGATGAAACACACAAGTGAAAACATCACTAGGATTATTTTATATTCAATTCCTCCCAAAAATCCCTTTCACCTAAATCTTACACACTGGACCTTTAAGAGATGCAGGATTTTGAAAACGCCAAGAATGTATTTTCACATAACAAAAACTCATTTCATTTTTAAAAGTAAAATAAACAGCCAGTGATCTGTCAGTAATAAACCTTTTCTCCCTAAAGCAAAACCTGCTCTCTAAGTCCATTCCCCCGCAGAGGGATTCAATGAATAATTCTGATAAAAACAGTGAAAATATTGAAGGAAATGCTGGATTTCACACCAAAATGTATTGGGTTCCTCTCTGACTCACACACAGCCTTCCGCCAAGTTTCATGGAAATCAGTTTGTTCATTTTGTGTAATATTGTAAATATACAATCATTGCAACCATTGGCAGAACTAGAGGTAATAAAAACTATTCTACATCTTGAAATTTTCATTTGTGTTTCTGTAATGGCATGACAGCATAAACAACACATGAGAGGAAGAATTAAATATGTACAACTCTGATTATGATGGGTTCATGAGGACACTTCAAATATGTATCCCAGACTCACAAATCACAAACGATACACCGTCCAAAACAGAGTGGAAATTGTTTAATTACAACGATGACAAAAATAGGTGATTCATAACTTCAATATGATATTTCATCTGAAACACCCAGGTAAGTCAATGACAGGGTAATAAAGTCCAGTGCTGTAGAACATATTCAGTGCTAACGTTTTCATCAAGTGACAAAGTACACTCGTTCTCCTAGATCTCGTCCTCCAGGCGTCTTTTCCTCCACCTTTAATCCACATCTGAGTATAAAGAGGACGTGTCTCTGCACATGTTGAATAAGCCGTTTGAGGGTCTTGTCAATCTTCCCCAGCTTCCGCTTTATTTGGCACCACAGGGGGCTCCGGGCTCTTCCCCATGTCTGGATAGACAACTGAGCAGAGCTTTTGGCACAGAAGAGTCATTTTACCTGGAAACAGGTTTGAGAACAGGGAAATCATTTTTTATATGAGGAGATAATGGTTCTGTATCAAACAGGGACATTTTATGAGTACAGAGAAAAAAAATTTCAGGCCCACTTGTATTAATATAGTATCCTTTGTTTTTTTCATTTTTGGGTCTGTTTCAGAAACATTAACATGCCCACTCGCTCTGTAGATCACTGATCACACTCTTAATTCTGTGAAGATCTCTGCTGTGTTCTCACAATGGATCCTGGGACATTTTTTGGGAATCTTTACAAGGGCCCTGGCCAGAGAAACCCCAGATAAAGTCTGGAACCTGTCACTCGGACATTTGTGTTCTCATATGCAGCCCCTCAGGAGAATGTCAGGGGGTTCTCCAGAGTTCAGTGCATGTCCGAAAGAAGCTGATGACATGACAGTTAAACTGTATGGACATTACTAATGAGTCGAATCCAGTGATCACAGGCCAACGCTGGAGTGCGGAGGCAGGACAATACTCTGGCAGGGGTTAAATTAAATTTACAACATGGTTTAATACAACATTTGTGGGAATACACTCTGAAGCAGAACTGCAGTGTCATAACCAAGTCACAAAATATCATCATGATGCTGCCTTACCAATAATAGTATCAAAACACTGTGGCTTGTTTTCCCAGTAGACTCCCAAGAAATACACAGGGATCCCAGTCATCATGATGGCCAGGCCAATACCACAGACCAGAGGCTCAGAGTAGAGAGAGAAGACCAGCAGGAAGGCCCAGAACAGCAGGTAGATCACCGGCCAGACAAGGCTCACCTAGAAGAGGAGGAAGAGGAGGAGGAGAGAGAGCAATCAAACATTATTCATCACTTTGTCTCAGATTCAAATTCAGTCAAATCAGATGTCAAGTTAAACTGGTTTCTGTAGAGACACCAGGCTTAACATTGCACTCTGATGAAAAATGTGGTTTCCGTGACATATTTTTCATCCTCTGTCGGTGCAGCCTGCATGTCAACATTGACCCATAAGTAAAATGTTTTCCCAGATCAGGTTTGACCAAAATGAATAATCTTACACCCCGTTCACACTTGGTATTACCAGCCGTCCTGAGTGATCCCATCACAAGTGCAGGTCACTCAGATCACATTCGGAGTCTGGGACACATGCCAATGTAAATGCATCTTGGGCCTCATATGACGGACAAATTACTCAGCTGGCGACATCTGACCCGCTATACTTTTCACAATCATTTTTAATCTTCTCAGCACCCACATGTTTGTTGCAGCAACATCAAAACAACAATTTCTTTTTTTTCCGAATGGGGAAAATCTTTCTTCATAGCAGATCTACAGTTCATTGCTTCATTCTGCCCCTTCTGACTTCACCCGCTCCCTTTCTCTTAACACACAAGCACAGTGTCAGACATATCTGTAAACTCTGACTGTGTTCAAACATCATTTTGTCTTTGAACACTGATGATGTAAATGGTTATTTGCAAATAGAATAGAATCTGACAACAAGTGGTTGATTGTATAATTGTATGAATTAGCAGGTGTTCCCCACAGAGTGCTTGGTGGTTGTAGTCCTCATGAAAATGTTTTGTTGCCAATATGCCAGATTTAACCTTTCGCAAAAGAGTTGTCAAAAGCCTTTACCTTGATGGGTCGATACATGTCAGGCTGTTTGATGCGCAGCACGATCTGCCCAGCAACAGTGACGCCATAGAAGAGGTAGTTGATGAAGCCCACGTAGTTTATGAGGGTGTAAATGTCGCTGGTGCACAACATCATCAGAGACGAGACCGACTGAATGTGGTGAGAGGGGTTCATATTGTTATTTGGGGCCAGGACAGAGGGCAAAGGTCACAAAATGTAGTTTTGCGTTGAGCCGCTGCAGCAGGACTCACAGTGAACACTAAGGCTGGAATAGGAGTGCAGCGTGTGACATGAATCATGGCCAGCAGACGTGGGAGATGGCCTTCCCTCGCTCCTGCAAAGAACAGCCTGGGAGACAGAACCAAAGACAATTAAATCCTGAGAGCAGAGCCAGATGGTGCTCGTGTAGCGTGTGCTCTCCCAAGCTGAGGGAACAGCTCAGGTACGACAGAAACACCAGTGCAGAAATTAAAAAAAAAAACTGTAAATACTCACTTGTTTTGGTGTGAAACAGGCATAACAAGTCATTATCAAACCCTTATGATAAAGGAATATACTATAGGCTTGATATTTCACAGTTTGAAAATAAATATTAAGCACAAATGAAACCAAATCTATAGAACTTGAAAATAAACAATTTTTTAAACGTAAAGATATATAATGCGTATGGATAAATGAGCATATTTTCTTCTTTTTTGTCAAATTAAAGTTTTAATAATGGCAAATAAAGAGATTCTAAAACAGTATGTCTGTGAGAGGCTCATATCACCTGATTTTGAGTTGCAAAACAATGTCAGTACAGTTCTACTTTCTAGATACAAACTAGTGTGTTGTCATGATGCACAAATCGCTTCAATGTATTATTTCATCTTTTGAAGGACTTAAAAAGCCCAATTATAAGTGAAACCAGGTCAACAAATGCAGCAAAACTGAACATCTGTTCCCTGTAACCACTTCAGTCCTGTGATCAATAATAAAACACTGCAGTTCACATGAAACTCCCATTGACAGTCATTTCAGAGTTTCAGCTGCTCATATGGAACCAAAGGAGAAATTTAATAAAACATACTGGGTGATTAAACCCCTCAGCAGAACTGCATTACCACAAAAATCCCATAACGAGAAACAATTTCCCTCACAGCCACTTTCCCTATAATCTGAAATCCAGTTTGTGACCCAAGGGATTACACTGCTGAAGCATTGTACTCCAGTTTAGCTCATTGTTCCAAACCTGCTCAACAAGTTTCTCTGTGTGCATCTAAACTATATCAGCGTTGGAATGAGCCCACAAAGAAGCGCAGTGGTCACAGAAGCTGAAACGAGAAGACAGATAGGACAGAGGGGGGGCAGGGAGGGACAAACTGACCGCGATGACGTGAAGAGCGAGCCGTTGACTCCCCCGAAGGTGGAGAGTGCCACGGAGATGGGCATGATCCATGACATCACTCCTAGCAATTTGTCTCCAAATGTCTGGGAGAAACATTAGTAGAGAGAGAGAAGGGGAGGAGGATAAAATACATTTCCAGACCAAGAGTTACAGGCGTTATGCTAATATGAGCATGCACCAGATCAGTGTGGTTACTACTGCTAGGCAACGCAGATGATTCAAAACTCGGTAACTTAGAAATGGTCTATTTTTCTCACCACTGCTACAGCATTAGAGGCCAGCAGCTCCTGGGGGCTCATGGCTGTGACGTACGCCACGTTGGCAAAGACATAAACAAACGTGACCACAGGGATAGAGATGAAGATGGCACGAGGGAGATTCCTGAGGGGAACACACAGGGGAATGGTTCATGCACCATGAACCTCATGAACCTCTCACTTCTGAGACAGAAACAAACCTTTGATTCAACATGTGAAACATAATTGGAAAGAATGTGTTAAATAGATGAATGGAGTTTTGATACGATGAAACACAAGTTTTAGTGTTAAAACCTAAACCCTTAATATTCAACTACATTATATTTAGTGCAAACAAATAAAACTTAGTGATATAAGAAGCAAGGCAGCGTTATAGAAGTGCTTGTGTTACCTGTATGGGTCGACCAGCTCCTCTGTGACATAGTTGAGGAAGTTCCAGCCTCCATATGCAAACGAGCCTTGCAGGAAGGACAGAGCTATCAGACCGACATCATAGTCACGGAAGGTCTCAAAGGCATGAACTGGCTCCAACCAGTAATAGTGACCTGTCAATCAAAAAACAAGAGAGTCACTGACTTGACTTGACACTTCGACTCGATGTGAACTGCAATGCACCACCACAATCTGAGCAGCAGAGGGCACCAAACAACACCCAATGTTTGTTGTACAGTTCATTTGCATAACGTGCTTGCTTTGGTTTTATCCTCACAGAATCAGGTTTCAGTAAATTAAATAATGCATTGTTAAAGATCTCATTTCTGTCAACACTTATGCAAACATCCTGCTGCAGACTGCAATTGAAATATTTTAAAACCATACTTTTATTAAACATCATTTTTAAACCATTTTAGAATTCAGACCACTAAATATTCTAGAACTGTTACATAAGCTTCAAACAATAAGCAATGCCAGATTTGGACAGAGTCAAATCTCTGTACAAGACATATTAATTAAACTACACTTCCATCCTCTGTCCCAGTGAGATTGATGGGGCTAAGTGAGTGTGTGTGTGTGTGTCTGTGTGTGTCTGTGTGTGTGTGTGTGTGTGTGTGTGTGTGTGTGTGTGTGTGTGTGGAAGTGGTACGAGGGACTGTAATCTCTTTCATGTCGGGATCATAAATCCTGTGAAAGCCACAAGGGGAGTAAAATGTGATGGTAGCTGGAGCGTGGCTGCTTCAAAAAATGTTTTTCCCTCTTTTTTCCCCCCTCATCATTTCTCAAGAGTTTTCTCCAATGTGGAATCAGGATAATAAGGAGGAATGATGTTTAGATGCTTAACAAGAAATAAGATGAAATAAATGACATTTATTATTATATGCAAGATGACTTCACCTCTTATTCAAGGAAATATTTTGAAGAGAACATTCAAACAAAGTTTTGCTTCGTTATGAAAAAACAAGACAAAAAAAGAGAAAAAAATAAACGACTCCCCTCAGACTAAATCCACTCTACATTTTTTAAAAACGCATCATCAATGCAACATTACGTCTGAAACACTACCAGTTCTTGAGCACCTACAACAGAAGTGTGGAAACACAGCTGACCCATTATAGCTCTAAAATGCTGTTTTAAAATGAAAAGGTATTAGTATGGATGTAGATAAGAGAGCGACATGGACATCGACGTAGAAAATGTGACATCAAGCAAAACAAAAGAAAGGAAACAGATGTTCAAAGAGACAACAAAGAGGGAGGAACAGTACCTTTGCAAATTTGGACAACACCCATGATGATGATGAGGCCCAGGGCCAGGAGCTTGCCAGTGGTGAAGACGTCTTGTACACATGTGGCCCAGCGCACACTGTGGCAGTTCACCCAGGTCAAAAACACTGAGGACAGCAAGATACAACATGACATTATGTTCTGAGTCTGATATTTGTTTCATCTACTTTTCTACTTCTTCCATTTACTAATGTTCAGTATGTATCAGAATTTTTAGTCTGTAGCACCCCCACATAACAATGACCCTTAGATAAAGTGCAATAAAAAAGGTTTCATAGTTAGAAGTATGCAGAGATTTCCAGAAAACTTTAAAGAAAGTCAAGTTCCTGATTCAGAAAAGAAAAACTGTAGGCTTTAAAATAATGTACCACGAAAATGAAAATATTGGGAAATTAAGAATATAAACAGATTCATGTTTACGAGCATGTTTGTCTCAAAACATCAAATGAATGCAAAACAAGATGAGTTATGTCCCTTAATGACAAATCTTAAGAAAAAAGTGATTTGTGACGAGAGGATCTGATCTCATTTGAAAATGAACGTGCTCAGTTCTGTCACACTAAAGAAATGTGTTTTGCCCTAGATATTTAACATACCTCAAGACATGTTTATATGTTAGTCTAATAAATGGACTCACTCATTTGAAGCTTTTTAGATCAACTAATCTTGAAGATCAGACACAGAAATGTCAAACGGATCAGAAAGCTTGTAATAAGAAGAAAAACGCAAACCAGTGTCCAGATTATGCATCGTACAAAGATCATATGTGAAGGATTTGGAAACTTCTCACTCAAAGTGTGCTGAACATTTCAAAGCAAGGTGGCACCAGGCCAATATTTGTGTTGTGACTATTTCTTTAAAATCCCTCTGGAATCTACCACAAATATTGCTTTGGATGTTAGATTGTACTTTGTACATACAACACAGCAGAGTTTTCACCAGCTCTTTTACGGCCCATAATGCAGCTCTTATTTGTGTGACCTTCGCTGGCTTACATATTTGGCCGAATTCATTTTGTTTCAAACTGCAAAATCTGTTTCAAAATCTCAAGTTCAAGCCAAATTATGTGTTACTTTTCTTAGCCTCAGCAAAACTCCTCCACAAACACAAGACAGCTTTTAACACAGCTTAGGTTTGTGGTGAGTGCTGCTCAATCTGCTCAATCTTAAACCTGTTTTTTATTAAATAACAGTAACAATAGCTACAAACTACAATGACACTCAGAGCAAGTACTTCTGACATGGCCCAAGCCAAGACCTAAATATCCGCCCCTTAAATGTGCCAGATTGTTTTCATCAAGATCAATGATGTTTCATGGGAAATTGGCGAAAACATCTCTCACAATATTAAAGACAATGATAAAATAATTCAATAATCCTGCTAACATCCAACCAAGTTACCAACCAACAGACAAGGGTGAAAACTTAAAAACTGCCTCAACCAACAGCAGTTCGATCTTGCGTTGTATTCATCACTCACAGAGGCAGACTGCAGCCAGCAGACGGAGGCCGCTCTCTGGGGGGAAGCAGGAGGGGAAGAGAGGCTGCATGATGTAGTTGGAGAAGGTGAGAGCAATCACAGCCTGGTTACTGGGGTAAATAACTAACACCGCAATCCACAGACGCAGAAACCTGAGAGTAAACACAATGAGTTGGGGTTAATGGGACATGGAAACACTTCTGTCACACACCAGTAAGCAAATACAACTGCAAGCACACCCCACAAACAAGCACAGCATTGTGTAAGACAATAACTGCCCTTGTTATTGAACATGTAATGGAAAACAAAAGGGTTTTAAGCATATCAGCTTAGTACATGACAGAAGTGCACTGGAGCATTGTTGTTACAGACAAGAGAAATGAGTGGATGTGGGTCAATGATGTAACTAGATGCTTTAATGATATGGTGAGCATGAAGGGTGGGAATGTGACAGAAGTTTACAGTAAAACTCTCATGAATTACAATAGGCTGGCTAAATCCTTGCAATCTTATAAATCACTCAGCATTGCACATAGTTCCCTTTAAGACCTTTCCTATCTTAGAATTAATACTAAACCATGTACATCCAAACTTCATAAACACAGTGCTGGACTGAAGTGACGAGAAATCAGAAAGGCCTGTGCCTGAAACGTATTCCTGGGAGGATGAATATTAAGTTTATGCAAGCGTTAACTGGTGTGTGGACATTCTTGTCTTCTGATTCCACTTAATTATTTAAACCATCAACTTTTTTACAGATTCAAAAGCTGATTTGTCACGTTTTTTTCTCTTTATCGTTTCCAGAAGAGAGGGCATTATCAACTTTATTGTGATGTACAGGAATGCTTTTTATGTGTGTGTGAAATTTGGTGCAGCTTGATTGAATTTCAGGAGACTGCTGGAGGTGATGTTCTCACCCGTCCTTTTTGTTGGTTGGTTTACATTACAAACAAGTTGATGGATTTCCACGAAACTTGGTGGAAGGATGCAGTATGTGTCAGGGAAGAACACATTGAAATTTGGTGTGGATCTGGATCAGGAGGCAGAGCCAAGAAAATTTTTGTTCACCACTTTCTTTAACATTGTGACATTTTCACTGGACAACCTGGTGCAGCTTGATTTAATGGGAGGATTGCTGGGCCTTAGTGGAGGACTTTATTGTTAAGTACTTTGTTCCTGTGTTGCAGTGTTATAAGAAAATAAGAATAGCTTCTGAGGCAGATAAATGACGATCCCAGTTAAAGTATAAGCTATACGATGCAGTTATTTCTTCAGAGTGTCCCATTGTCATATCTTTACTGCAGCTATGCTAAAAGTCTCCTAAACCGATATGCAGATATAATATAATAAAGTATTATTAGACAGAGTTTCTTCTCACCCAGCCAGTCCTCCAAATATGTCTTTGACATAGGAGTAGTCTCCCCCAGACTTGGGGATGGTCACACCTAATTCGGCATAGCAGAGAGCACCAATAGCCGTGATGACTCCAGTGGAGACCCACACGATCAGGGCCACGCCCACTGAGCTGGCATTCTCCAGGACGCCCTTAGGACTCACAAAGATCCCCGATCCAATGATGTTTCCTGGGTGAGCCAAACAGACAGAAACAGATAAAGAACAAGCTAGTAAAATACTGATGCTCTGGAGATTGGTCAAAAACAGCATTTCATCTCACACAAACAATATTGTGAGAACCATCCAACATTATTTATGAAGACAAACAGAAGATGTGTATTGTGTTCATGATACGCTCATCAAGAGTGGGAGAAAAACAGGAAAATAATCATAAGACTACTGAGGCTGGATGTAGACTATAAAAGGAAAGCTGCCATTCTCAGTCCCATGATGAAACATATCCTGTGATTCATGTTTTCATCTGAAAACATTGTTCTTTGAAAAACAACACACAACTTTACTTTGTCTGGTTCGAGCAGCTCCACAACAGCAACAACGCATCTCCCTCAAATTCTTCCTCTGAATGATGTTTCAACTTCTTAGCTTTTAACTCGCTCGTCATAAAACTGAAAACACTCCCTCTGTCAGGATATGGTCTTGTGAAAACTGCTTATTATGCACTTCAATTCTACACAGGATTGTTCACTTCATCCAAGATCATTTGTTCTCGTAATTCATCCAGATTTGTCTGCATGTTTCCAGCTGCAATGGTGCTAATGCTGATGAATTTGGCCTTAAAAAAATAATCCATTATTCAATCCATCACAATGGGAGCCAACACAAAAATGTGTGTACAGCCGTTTCTTCTCAGTGATGCAGCACCACCCTTAACCACTGCTTGTGATGGTGATGGAAATTGCAGCCTCAACAATGTTGGACACCCATTAGTGGGATTGCTTTTTATTGACTCTAATTTCTTTACGTGTAGGAGGTGGGCAGGGACTGAGGAGGATTCATGACTGCCAATATTTGCCTGGAAACATGATGGCGTCTACAAAAGAGTGCATGCAATCACATCAGCAAATGACGGAAAGAACGAGGAGGAATAAAAAGCAGATAGGGGAGAGATTTCAGTCCGTACCACTTAGGCTGCAGTACAAACAACTAATTTACAGCCCGATTCAGCTGCATTTTCTTTAACATGAACAAAAAGACTGTTTTAAAACATCATGAAAATGATTCTGTGTGTGTCAAAAGGACACTTGGGCTGTGTCTCAGTTCAGGGGCTGCATCCTCCAGAGGACATGGCTTACCCCACTCACAGAGGACACCTCCTTTCTGCACCGCCTAGACCACTGAAGGACGTGGCCCCTGAATTGAGACAGAGCTTTGAACTGAATCATGAATGTTCATCGGTGACACCTGAGCTCTTCATACAATGACTTGTCAAAATCTCTGCTCAGAGAGAAGTTTATTACTCTAAATAAAACACACTGACAAAATCCAGCTTTCAAAAATGTAATGACTTCCACATCAAACCCATATGATTTTTCTGGGTTTTTAAGATGCAATAACTGAAACAGTTCCTCATGATGTGTTTGTTGTTGACAGGAGCGTCTTAGGTTTAAGAGGAGAAAAGCAGATTTCACCACAATAAATAAAACCATAAATAATTATGAGATAAGGTGAATTAAATAATCAAGTGCTGACATATAGATCAAAAATGAAATGGGGTCTTAATTCAAATTGTCTTTTTTAGAATAAAGTTGAACAGTACAGTTCATTTATTGATGGACTTACCCACTATGATGCCACAGGCGCTGACCAGGCCGATCTGTTTCTTCAGAGCCACCCCGGAGCTTCCACCTGCGTCATTGCCCTCATCACAAGGAGACCCGGGCGGCTCCGGGTGAGCTGCTCCTCCACCTCCACCACCACCACCACCACCTTCTCCTCCGCTGCTGCTGCTCCTTTTCCTCGGATCCTCGCTCATCCTGTCCGCTGTGTCCCCCCCTCTGTGCTTCAGGTGACCGGGGCAGCGCCTCCTCCTCTCCTGTAACCTACCGAGACATGTGCCATTGTTGACAGAACAATACAAGAAACAGCGACAGAGAAGCTAAAACTAGCATCAATAACAGACACGACGAGCTGCCCTGGCAGACTTTCAACACAACACAATGATATCACAACTGTTCAACTGTGAACTCACTGGTCAAACAGATTGAGTGTTTACCCACCGACGCTTCTTTCCAATTAACTCATCACCGGCAGGAGCCTCGTGCGCTTTGTTTCCCTGAACGGAACTTTATTGATGATTGGTTCTGAGCAGACCGGCGCGCCTCGTGAGCAGCAGCTGTAGCTCGGTGGAAGGAGAAGCTCGCTGTTATGTGACGGTGGGTTTCATGTTGGCCATGATGTGAACCAGATAACAAAAGAGCCACCAGCTGACCGGCCATATAGAGAAAGAATGGTTGTTTTCCACCAATCGGCGCAGCACGCCTATGGGCCCCGCCCCCTGTAGTGAGTGGGAGACGTCTCTTTCATTGATAAATTAAAGATACACGTTGTGTGGAAGAGCAGGTCCATTATATATATATAAAAAACTATACACATCTTTTTATGACGAGATTCAATTTCATTTAGATTAAACTTTAGTGCTGTATTTTAAATGAGGTTCATAGAAACAGACCCACCTTAGCTAATCAACACAAAATAAAGAGACTTATTCCTGTTTGATTGTCTAATGTGATTTAGTGCAGTTCTGACAACTAAAACTAAACGTATACTATATAAAACAGCAGTATAAGTTTTAATATGTGAACTCCCCTACTCCTTGTGTGATGTGATTATCTATCAACACTTGTCAAATAAAAAAATCAACAAGGAAACTAGAACTAATCTTTAAAGGTCCAGTGTGTAAGATTTAGGTGAAAGGGACCTATTGGCAGATATTTAATGTAGAATAATACTCCTGTTTTCACTAGTTCATTTCATCTAAATTGTATGAATTGTAGTTTTCTTTGCCCCAGAAAAGGCCTTTTATAGTTAAATACTTTATATTTACATCGAGGGGACCCTCTCTACAAAGGCTGCCATGTTTTTTTACAGTAGTCCAGAGTGGACAAATTAAACACCTTCTGAATTTTTATGACAAGTAAAGGCTACCACAGGTTCTTTTTTCACTTTTGGGAGGGTGAGGTGAGGGGTGTTCAGCTGCAACATGCAATTTCAACACTAGATATCACAAAATTCTACACACTGCACCTTTAAAAGTATGACAGAAAGTCACACTAGTTTTGTAGTCAAGCACTAGTAGTGTCTGTTATGCAACTGTAGTTTGACACATGTAAACAACTTATCATGCTTAGCACAATACCGGGTCTTATCATGGTTAACATAAGACCAGAGAGGGCGTGTTTGTGGGCCTTTAATTCTAGAGGCAAGTAATGGTAAAGTACAGTACAGAGTAGGGTAGCATAGATGAAGTGTGTCTGAGGGTGACATCTACTGGACAAAATACATCCCTAAATATTTAGGTGGAAGTTCCATTACAACAATATAATCTTGCAGTGTTGTCATTCTAGAATTATTCACAGTCTTCTACTACTCACGTTTCCATCCCAAGAACTTGCAGAGCATTTGAAGGACATTACAGTGCTTTCTTTATTGACATGGTTCAAACATCAAGAAATAACAAAATAAAAGTATGAAGAGACAGTCCCGGAACAATGCGGGGTGTGACCTGAACGGCAAAACCTACTGACCCTAGTGATGACGAAAAGGGCGTTTCTGTCAGTATATAACATACAGTATGGAATGCGAGTTTGATAAGGCATAGGTTTGGATGGACAGAGAGTGTATGAGTGCATACACACAACAGGAGAGGGGGGGGTACACAGAGCATGACAAACTACTGGCTAGGTGTTTGACCTAATTTCAACAAGCCACAGCAACAACTTTGTGCACAGGTGATAGTCCATGTCAGCTGAAGACAGCAATACTCTGAGAACACAGAAATAATAATATAGTTCACCCAATCATTCATTTTCATTTCTAGCTCAAAGTTGCTACCAATGGTTGTTTTAGAACCCAGACCAAAGTGACTGAGGGCTCTCAGCTCAGGTCCAGGTTTTAACTGTGTGTATAAAAAGAACCAGGCCACCCAACTTAACCTGCCACAGAGTCGTACAGAAACACACATGAGTATACGCTTGGTGGGTGTGCTCGTTTGTCTTCTTCACAGGCCGATGGTGTAGGAGCGTCCTGATGGGTTGTGGATGGCAGAACAGGAGGGTTCAGTCACAGCCCATTCGTACCACACCTTCTTCCCGTTGTTGCAGCGCCAGAATCTCACTGTGACATCATCATCCCGGGCTATGGAGATGGGTTGCTATTGAAAGGAGTGCAGGAATAAATTGTATCAGCCTTTAAACATGTTTATGTTTAACAAATTGTGCAGAAGACCTTCAATCTTACAAGGAATATTCACCATCTTGTCCTATATTCTAAAATGAAATGAAAGTAAATGAATTAAGTGGCTGTAACTCACTTTGAGGGGGAAGAGGATGGGGAACCAGGAGAACATTCCAGGTGAATGAGTGTCTGGATTTATACCTGAAAAAACATAAATGAACAATATTCTCATTTAACATTGAAATCAATTCTAAACACAGAACCCCTTCCTCTTTATTTAGCTGACTTACTGAGTGTGACATCTTTGTACAGTGTGGTTTCAAAGTAGCCAGCGAAGCCGTGAAGCACTGAGTTACAACCCACTGAGAACCTGAGGCACTGATACCGGTTATTGTTCATATCTGAAAGAAAGAGACGATGGTCAACACATTTGTATCTTATTATGGTCATGTGGGAAGTCTATTTGTTTGTGAAGCTGTTTTCAGAAACGGACAGAGAACTCTGGAAAATGTTTCAAATTGGGTCTGGAATTTGCCTTTTACGTATGAAAAACACAACGGTTTGTTTCAGACACTTTCACAACAGCAGGAACCTTTCTGGAACATTCAGACGAGAGGTTGCTGAGAAGAGTGTGCAGGAGGCAGAACAACATTCTGTTGTGGAAATCAACAGTTTTTGTTTACAGCTCATCAACGTTGGCTCTTATCACCAAAAGCTCTCGAATCTCATTGTCTTTCCAAGTTGACATGTTTGTTTGTGTCTTCTATTGTAATGGCATTTTCCTCCAGGGTCATTTCTATTTCAGATTCGCATCTGTCGCATGTTAGAAACATCGACTGGTCACTCGCTGTGAATTTACCGGCCATTTTCCTGTTTGTGTTTACACACAACATTTTACTAGGGGGTTGGCATGAAAAGTTCCAAAAAATGTCCTCAACAACTGACTTAGACATTTGCCTTCTCACATACAGCCCATCTAGAAAATTCTTCAGTGCATGTCTGAAAGCAGCTCAAGTAAACAATGTAAGTGTGGTGTGTTTCCATCTACTTGATGTGGGGTGTCTGAAGGTGAAGCACGGTTTGGGTTCCGCCAACTGGTGGAAGTTATGGAGGCGCACTACGTAGGGCGTCTCAAAATGGCACTCTGGGTCCTTGTCACGTTCCCGGCAGCTGCGTACTTCGTTGTAAAGCTTGGAGGAGGAAAGGGGAGCCAGGAAGGACGTGTAGGAGCAGGGAATGCTGACGCCATCATCTGAAGGTGACATGATGAGGTTAGCATAAGGGGGAAAGAGAAAGTGATATGATACGCAAGGAAGCATGGAAGGTAATGGAGGATGACAAATAATATCGACATTGTTTGATGTGGCAAATATCCAAATGTGCTCTGCATTCAATGACTCTGCAGCTACAACATCTACGTGGTTGATTTTCTATTTTTAAAAAAACACTGTAAGAGTCATATTAAACCACATCAGTGAATTACCTTTGAGAAAGTGCTGCGCTCCATCTAAGCACTCAGGGGAGAGTTCATTGTCGCCGAACGATCCCAGCAGCTCGCTGACAATGATGTCCGCTTTCTCAGGTGCCGCCCAATCCCGCATGTCGCACGACACCACGGTCACCTGTTCACCCCACTCCTCGAAGCGCCAGTTCTCTAGCCTGAACAAGTTACGTTGAAAACTTTAGGTTAAAACGGTAGGAAATTACATGAGGATTCAACATTTCTGAAAAATGGTATATAATTATATGCAAAGTCTAAATACTCCAATGGGTAAGAAAATATGGCCATTTGTTATAGCTCATTCTGATACATGGCAGCCCATCCATCCATGACAAATGGATGTTTTTTCCCCACCAATTTTATTGTCTTATCACAATATAAGCCATTGCCATGCACAGCTGGTAAAAGTGTTGCTTTATATTTTCCCTACGTAGGTGGTTTATCTCAGTTTGTAAAGACAGGCATATCGACATTTAGTGCAGCAATATTTTACTCACGTGACTACAGCGTTGGGATTTTTCTCCACAGCATACACCTTCAGCTTCCTGTCTGCCTGTCTGGCAGCTCGCAGGGACGCATTGACCAGCGGACCCCGACCTGCTCCTAATACCATCAGAACCCTGTGTGAAAAGGTCACCATTAGAGAATGCAGCTGATTGATGTCTCTCACTTTTGAAGCTAGAAGCTGTGGCCCTTTTTTAAACATAGAAAGAGTTGTTTCCTTCTCACTCACTGGACATTTGTGTCTTTCTGCTCCTCTGGAACTCTGTCAAGAAGACATTTATACACGGCCTGCAAAGACAAAGAAGATATATCGATAAAGACAAACTTTCTTTTTTACTAATTTTTATCATTTAGTGGTGTGTACATATTTGAATTCAACATACTTTGCATTATATTGTCATTTACCATTTTATTACCCTCATATCTAATCTGATTTTACACAGAATCTGACAAATCAGTGATGTGCAAATGCCACAAGCAATATTCCATAGCGTTTATGCCAACTTCCTGTTCAGTGAAAAACCTTAACACTTGATTTTGTTGGGCTGCATATTTTTATGTTTTGTAGTTTAATTATTTAGTGAGTTTCCATTTTCCTTCCAGGATTATCTGAGAAGTGTCAGAAGCCTGTCAAACACTCTTCACTAAACAGGCAGACAGGACAGAAAACCAATGTGCCTTACAATGTTAAGATTTTCACAAAGCTACACAGCAAGTGTGAAAGATTTTCTCTAGGTGAATGAACAAGTAGGGGTATTAAATGACTGCTGTAGATGCTGTTTAGGTTCCCTATATATTGTAGGTATGAGGAATATAAATGGATGCTTTTGGGGTTTATAGTTTACTAAACTCTGCTACATCTCCAAGTATGTAGAGTACAGTATTAATTTATAACACTGGGAGCATGTCATCAAACAATGTGAGATGAGACCTTGTAAACAGCAAATGTGAACTTGTCAATTATTGGAGATCCTCTGTAGCTCAATGAACAACACTGCTCTAAGCGTGAGTCCCTGCCAAGTCTTTAAGAGTATTCTGCCTCAAA